ATGCACGTCTTGGCATACCAGAATTTAAAAAACAATTTCCGATAGTATTTTTTGATGAACTCCTATCTTTCAACAAACATCCCTATGAAGCCATTAGTTTCTGTAGGTATTTCATCAATTCTTTGTCAAACGACACTGAAGCTCCTGAGCTCAAAACTATTGGCAAGCATGAGTAATGCATACAGAATTATGAATAAGTTCGATCGGACGTTTGAATACTGTATGAAAGTGTTGAATATGACTAAAAAATACAAATTATCTGTGCCTTGTTACTCTTGGTTAGAAGCAAAATATTATTGCACTTGTTCACGAAGACCGTGGTGAATATGATATTGCATTAAAATGCTTGAATGATGTTCCTGAACTTTTTAAAGACAAATCCGATTCTTACCATTATCCTATGAATTGCTCAGAAGAGTACAATCAAATTAAGTATTGTCTGTTACTAGTACTGACTGTTTGTCTTATTCAATGATTTCAACTTAGCAAGCACTTGCTCAGAATATCAACGCTAATCATTAATAAAAAACTCTATTTCACCAAGGGGAGACAAAAATGAATTTTCCTGACTGAAAAGATTCAGGTTACTTTGAAGCTTTAATTAGCAAATAAAAGTATCAATTACTTCAGAAATATAAATTCTTGGTGCCTGTGAATCAAAAGATTAATTAGAAAGGTAATCTCATGTTTCAAATATCATTTGACAAACATTTAGTATTTATGAATTCAGAAATGCACCAATTCATTTCAATAAAAAGAACGTCGAAACTTGAACGCGATTGCTATTAGGAAAAATTGTTGCATCTTTATATTGCAAATTGGAAATTTTTTTAGAGATATGAGCTCGTCGCGATAATCGCGACTTTTTGTTGATCTGGCCTTGAGTTACGCGCATGTAATGTGATCGTGACATGGATGCGATTAAGAAAGTTAACTTGGATAGGTTTAGTTATTCTGATCGATACATCAGTTCTATAACGACTACCTTCGTCGTGAGTGTAGCATTTCTTAACGGAATCTCGCAGAATTTCTTCTGTAATTCTTGTCTAGGATGTAAATGAAATGTTTGAAGCTTCTGTGCATTAGTTAAACAGTTGTTACCAGGTGTATTCACTAAAATAGATATTCTAATATATTTTAAGTATATAATAGAAAAAATTTACTATATTTTATTTGATGCAATATTTTTTAATCTATATATGTTGAGGCACTATATTCTCTTTCATTTACACATAAAGGTCTATTAATAGTGAATAGATTGAATTTCCAGAGAACTGATATTTTGCTCAAATATTCTGTACATACATACTGTGGATTAGAAGAACAAATCGAATTAAGTAATTTAATACCATTAGATAGCCCTATTGATCCATGTTCATCAAACTTCTGTTCTTTTTTTTCTTTTTCTTTTTCCATTTTGACTTTGATTGACCTCAATATGTATCTTCTTTTTGTTTTGACTACACATATATGTAGATTTTAACTTATTATTCACAATAATACCGACGAAAAAAACAAATATAATGAAATACTAAAAATTTTTGTAATGAGAATAATGACCTTTTGGGCACACACATTTTCTGCATACAAAATTCAAAATTTTTTTTCGATGATTAACAATAAATATATATATTCTTTTAGTTTACGCTGTGATCATATCCAATGATCTAATAATACTTGAAGAGGTAAGTCAGTCTAGTTTTTAAAAAATTTGTCTATATACATTTGAACATAAAGTTCATAAAACCACTCACGATTAGTTTCTTATCAAGAAGTTTATCTTCACTTAACGCTATACTTCTTTTTTTAACAAATATCTGAAAATAATTTGATGATATTAGATAGATATCTGTATACAACGAGACACAACTATAACGATAATATTCTCAATAAAGTTCTTAAAGTAATTGTAAATATCCGTCGTATAATATGAAAAAATTGTAAAATACTCTATAAAAGAATTTTTCTTTACTTTTTTCACTCGAATTTAGGAGTACAACTAGGAGATTCTTAATGATCATCATAGAGAGATCATTTCGCTATCTTTCAATATGCAAAAAATTCAATAGAGTCAAAAATGAGAACATAAATAATAAATTCTTACTTTTGAAAACTTTTGTTTTTGACCATTAGTTTTTCTACGAAAACAATTCTCACAAAACAAGAATTTTTCATGTCTTTCATATCTAAAGATTAAGTTTGTGTACACCATTAAATAAATTGCTAACTAATTTCATTACTTTGAAAAATGAAAGTGTTTTCACAGAGAAAAAAATCTTATTTTTAGAATTATTACAGGATATTCTATGAAATATATGTTGAAGAATAAATAGATTTTCGGAATACTGATCACATTTCATCATTTCAACCAAAGTAATTAATATTTAGATTTTGAATTCATACAACGAATCTATCAATCATTTCTATAATATTTGACAATATTGGCTAAAGTAATATCTAAAAAATGTCTACGTGCGTATATATAAAAGATAAGATAAAAATGTATTCACCTAACTTTCTTTTTCTCACGTCAAAATAATATAACTTCTACTTTATGTGAATAAAAAACAAAAAAATATCAGAAACGATTAATTCAAAATTTGAGTGAACTTTTTTCTTTACGATGTTTTTGGGCACACTTCTTTTCTCTAGTTATTATTTCTTATCGATTCTACTGTCAAAAAGTGAATATGTGAGTGACGAGAGAGAGAGAGAGCTCTGCGAGATCTCATTTTATAGGGAATTTCTTTGCTTTGTCAAATGAGATAGTTTTTGATCCGTTTTTCGATAAAAACTGGTTTTCATGAATTTTTTGGAAAATCAGCTCTTCACAAAAGATCCTTTAGCAACCTTCGAGAAACTCCAACTTTATGTCTATTGACATTTTCACAGTCTTTTACTAATGTTTTTAATTTTTAACTGAATTTCACTGAGTTTTTCACAATTTTACTATTCAAGGTCTTCCTGTTCTTCAAAATTTCCAAGAAAAATGTAACTGAATTTTTTCGACGATGACACAAAATAAACTAAAACTAATTAATTATAATTCTTCAACTAGAAAAACTAGATCGGTTTAAGTTTATTTACAAGGTAGATGGGGAGTATTCAGTGATTCTGCTTCTGTTTTATCAAGTTTTTGGTCATTTTTCGTTTTAATTTGATCAAATTCATTTTTTCATGATAAATCAGAAAAAAAATAGTTTTGAAATTTTCATACAGGCAGAATACCTATTCTCTGTATTAAGTCAATTTTTTCTCTTTGCCTTAATCATTTTTATATATAATATTATTAATGAACGGTGAGATCAATCACGAAAGAGAAGGAATTTTTATCAGATTACAGAGGAACAAGAAACGTTTGTTCTCTGAATGATCTCCATTTGGGATTTTACAAAATACGAGATCTAATCTCGGTAACAGTCTTGGCTATTTGCCTGTTCCATCATGAAAAAAGAAAAGAAGTTTCTAAAAAAAGTTCAGATTGTTCCTTGTTTACAAATATAACACATTTACAGTGTGAAAAGCGTATGAAAGAAAGAGTTTTTTCGAAAATTCTAAAAAAAAGGTTAAAACGATAAAATTTAGTGAAAAATGATGTACATACGTTCTAAAATATAGAGATTAAATATAGAGATCCCAGTTCATGTTATTCACTCATCTCATGTAACTTTTCTAACTCACATAACCTCAATGATATCATTTTCTGTTTTTGCTTCGGTTGTATTTTTATTTTATTTTTGTTGTCTTTTACGATGGGTGTCCTGATAGGCCCAATGGGCAAAAATAAAGCTAATTATCATCATCATCAAAATATAGAGATTCAACGTTTGCATCTGTCATTTCATCATTTATGAATAAAAATGTTACTTTATACGTTATATGTTTATACATTATGAAGACAGTTGTAACTGATGGTAAGAGGACTATCACAGGTGTACAATGAAGTGTGGATAAAAAATATCAGTGAAGCATTTTTGCTGTTTTCCTGTGAGAATTTGTCCACTTCTTAAACATAATACCTTGACAATCGTCAAATAGCTAAAGCTCTTTGAGCAATTATATAGAGTATAAGATACTTTTTATTATCTTCCTAGTAATGTTAATATCAATTTTTTATTTGAACGTTTACTTTTTACAAATAGACATTTTTTTCTTCATCAGTTGTTTGTAGTGAGCAGCGGATAATACAATTACTACTATAATGCATGAATTGGCAATGAACAAAATCGTGCACATATCCTTCAGAGTTATTATAGTAAAAAGAAATTACATATGATCCTTCTTTTTTTTTTTTCTGAGACCTATTAAGACCACTCATTTTTGAACAAAAGAATATTGTGCCAAGAAATAAAGAATTTTATTCGAATATAACGAACACCTCCTCATACTACTACTGAACCAATTTTTTCTGTTATTAATAAAGAAAATAACTGAAATTTTGAACATTTATATGCAATTTGTCCATTTTTCTATAGAGTACAAAGGTTACCGCTGTCAAAAGAATTTTGCAGAATACAATTTTAAGTCATTTATAGTTTGTTTATTTTGTTAAATACCAAAAGCATTCTCCTGCTCTAATGTATAATTTTTGGCTAGTAAAATTCTAAATGCTCTTCTAAGACTTAAATTTCACAATGCAATTGGTTAGCATTTATTTTTTAAAAATCATAGTCTTGTCTCTCAAGAGACAACAGTTTTTGTTCAAAAAATCACAAGCAGAAAACCAGAAAATTGAGATTCGTAAAAATTTTTGATTATTCGAATAAATCTTATAATGGTGTTGTATTTGTGTCCCGTAAAAATAAATGGAAAGTCTTTCGTAATCAAATTGAAAAATTTTTCTTTCTCAAAAAAATTATAATATTTTTATTAAATCTATCAATCTCTTTCTCAAGGTGTTAGTATAAATGTCCCGATGGCTAATCTGTTTCATATTTGTTTTCTTTGTTATTTTATAAAATACAATGCGTCGATATCTTAATATAAATCTAATATAGAAAATGATGCGTAATACAGACTTTTTATCACGAACTGCAACATCAAGTGCCAATGATTCTATTGATTTATATACATTACTTAAGCTTAATGAACCAGAAAAAAGACAATCTAAACTTACCGGTATTCCATTAAAGTCAGATATAACAAAATTACTTGTTCCATCTTATAGTAAAGTATTTTTTACCGATGGTTATACATCATTAAAACAAGATGATCGATATGAACGAATAGTCTACGATGATGAAATGGAAGTACCATGTATTGGTACAGATAAACGAAATTTTGATTTAGCTGAAATGGTGACATTTGATATTGATGGAACTTCTACACAATTACCACTGATGGTCAAAATGGTGATTATTCCACAGGGTATATTCTTTTATGTCAAATATACTTTAATAAAATTCACTATACTCTCTTTTTTCTTCTAGGTGCTGTTAATCAACGGGAACCACCGGTTATCGTGCGTGATGTATGTGTTCAATGTGATGATATTCCTCAAAGTAGACGACGTACGAACGGACATGATAAAGACATAACAATAACACGTGCAAAAAGTTCTGATTATTTAACTAATAGAAACGGTTTCTACGATAATATAAACGATGAACACTTAAGATGTTTATCATTAACATCATCGATGACTGATGATAGTTATGATAATTCGTCAACAGTAACACAGGAAAGTAGTAATCAACACCGTATTAGTCATTTACTTCATCGTCGACAAATAAGTACAAATAATTACTTAAATCGATCGGAATACTATTCTATACCATATTATCAATACCCGGGACGTCGATATGGTCCAAAACATATTGGCATACAAGTTAATTCGAACGATCTGAAAAATTTTCATTTACATCAATCCTCGTATAAGTTTTCGTTTAATAAACAGAATGGTGATGATCATTATTCTGTAACAATAATAGTACCAGTTAAAAATCGTCATCTATTGTTCAATGAAGAGACTGACAATCATCAGAGAACAAATCAACCACAAATCATTGAAGTTAAAATACCGGTAAATATCAAATCGAAACATACAACGGTGAGATATATGAATACAAAGGAATATGTTACAATAAAACGAACCATAAAAGGTCAAATCATTGGAGATATTGAGTGATCAAATTCTTTTAGCAAATTATACCTTACAATCAGAATTAGAAGTGTGTAATAAAAATAACGTCTATCAGTACTATTGGGACAGTGAAGCCTTTCCATAGTACTTTTAGTACGACGCTAAATTAAGATATCATGTTATTCAAACGTTTGTTTAGAAAATTGTTATTTTAATCGAAAATGTCTTACTGTATTATAATCAGAACGTTTTATTTTCTGTTTTTTTATTATTATGATACGAATGAACATATAGTTGTTATTACTTTTTCACTTTTTTAAAGAAAAAATGATTTTATATGTTCGTACGACTAAGATAGGCAGTAACCACAATTTTTCCATAAAAAAGGCCACTAAAAATACGTATTAGTTAATTAAAAAACAAACAAAAAAAAAAATTACGATTGAACGGCAATCGGTGTCGTTGTCGTCGATGTTCCAGGTTGTTGTTGTGCTTGTCTTGATAAACATCGAATATAATTCAATGAGAAAAATGCAGCACGCTCTTTTGCTATATCTAACGTTGTACCATAACCATGGAATACCGACACCGGTATTAAACAAACTTCAAGTAGAACTTGAAATAGTGCTAAAAAAAATAAATAATAAAGAATTTTTGTCATTGATTAATCAAAACAAAATCTTCAGTAAATTTATGTAGACTTATTTTTCCTTAATGGTATATACTTACAATCTATTGTAGGTAATTCAATAAATGTATAGTGGAAATTTTGTTCCTTAGCTAAATGAGCCAACATTAAACATGCATTTGGACATTCACGGTAATCATCTGACAATAATTGTTTTATAAGTGGTAAATCACTATTTTTTAACATTTGAAAGGAATTTTTTTCACATACACGAGTTGGACGTGTTAAACCATTACTGAAACTATTCGCACGTGCATTCAGATCAAGATTCTAAAAGCAAATCAAAAATGACGTCTATCAGACATCAATTATTTTCATAGCCATTCTTACATTATTCTCATTTCCTTTTCGTCTTGATCTTCTGATTTTTTGATGTACTTGTGTATATTCTTGATCACCCTAAAATAGTTAGTTATACGAGGCTTTGTTCGAAATTTTTATCTATGTAGAGTATCAACAGTTCATTCTCAATACTAAACGTGTCTTTTGACATTGTTTATTCCCATTAATAGTCTGCTGTATATGAATATCGATTGATTGGCTTCAACTGACCTGTCCTTCAGCACGATTCAATAATGCCTTTTTCTCATCAGTATTAAGTTTTTCTAATTTTTCTAGTAGGCTATGTGCAGCTAAACGTTTTGCAATTTTTTTAGATGATCCAGAACCTAGAAAAATAAAAAAACATCATTTTTCATTTCAAACAAAATGGATAACGTTTTACCTTCAGCAACATAATGTGCCACTTTCGCACGACAAATATATGTTTTCATATTTGGTGTTGAACCATCTTGATCGGCATATTCATACTCCGGTGGACGTATCCAATTTTTTTGTGTTAATTCTTGAAGTTGACCAACAGGATTTCCCGATGCACCATCATCAATGATATTATTTTGTAGTGGTTTCATTAGACTAACAAACGAAAAAAAATTGATAACATGAATAGTTTATCAGAAATATAAGATATATACAAACCAATATTGTTCAATTGTATTAGCCAATGGATCATTGATCATTTTTAATTTTTCATAACATTTTTCAATCATTGACCACGCTGCTGTATGTTTTGCACGTTTTTTACTCGATCCTAAAGAAAAATATCTATTCTTTTACAAATTTATTCTTATATTTTGTTTCTTATTTTTACCTTTTCCAAATGCAATCAAATCATCAATTGTCACACGATAAAGAAATAAGGGTTCATTCGAAAAATTATGTTCTTCACTTGGACATACACTATAGTTTGGTGTTGAATGTATACGAAAACATATTTCTTGTAAAAAACTAATCGGTGTTTTCATTGCTAAATCTGTTATTGGTTTATCATTTGCAACACCATTGTTTGATGAAGTAATAGGTGGTGATAGAAGATTTTTGACAACGGTATGATCTAATAAGGGAGTGTTTTCATTCTTTACTTGTGACAGACTATCACCAGGTGGTGGAGAAGAGAGAGAAATTGATGAATTGTTACTGGTCGAAATGTTTAATGAATTCAATGAACAGCCAAGATTTTGAATTACTTCTGGCATTCTAGATTCAAATCTAAAAAGAACAATATAATTATAACAAAAATCACAATATTTGAAGAAGTGAGAGTAAGCAGACAAAAAGAAGCGGATCTGGGAGATTTTAGAAGTGCTCTTAATTTTTTAACAGACCGCCTTAATTCGTTCTCAGATTGTTATCGATGACAGTAAAAGGGATAATCTAGTGCGAAATTAAATATTACGCTTTTCTAACTATGATTTCACTGGTCTGTTGTAACAGCATTATTTTCATTTGGCAAATGATGGTATATCTCTTATTTTTATGATAACTTTACAATCGGTATATGCTTCTATAAGCTAATAAAAAACTTGTTAGTTTCGCTTTTCTAACAAACAGAAAGTACAGAAGTTGGTGAGTAATATTAGTACTCGCATACCATTTAGAAAATGCATGTACTCCTATTTTGGCATATGTTTACAGTATATATCTTATTAACGGTCTTTATCCCTTCAACCTAATCGTATAAGAAACTGTACAACTAATTAAGGCTCCTTGTGTGATCACACCTGTAAGGCTTTGGGGACCACAAGTGATACCGTACGTTTTTGGAGTAGTTTTCTCAATTTTGAACGAAAAATACTTTCAAATAATCTCCCAGTTTTCTCTAAAAAAAAGAAGTTTGAGTAATGTTTTCCAGAAAAAGGCAGCAAGAGTTTCTTTTACTTCTGATTTTACATTCAATGGATTTCAGAGAAATCTTTGACTCAATACACAGAACAGAATTTAAATTTGAAAGTTGATTTACACTTCATCCAGTGTATATATATGTTTTATATTGATTAATAATGTATACAAAAATACATTTTTGTGAAGAAAAATAAGAAAAAACTTGCGAAGAAACTAGTTGGTTGGAAACTATATGACAACTAAAATACAGGATCTTCAAATTTTTCTCATAGTATGTACTAAAGTGCATTTTTCGTACTTGTATTTGTCATGCAATACTAGACGTTCACACCCGTACTGGGAAAAATGTACTCTCTTATAGATGCAAAATTTATACATCAGACCTATAAAGAGATGGCTAGATGATATTAAAATTAACAACAAAAGAAATTGCGTGATAGCCACCACAGAAATGCAAGAGTAGCTTTTTCTTTTAGAAAAAAACAAGGAAAACATTTTCTTTTAACGTATTATATCAAAAAGAATTTTTGAACCTTTTTTTTGAGATATTCAGTATTTTAAACTAAAAATCCGTGGGATTCAAAGAGATTACTCTAATTTGTATTCTTTCATTCGCGTTTGTACTGATGTAAATAGAACTTGCTTATCAATAGAAAATAAGCATTTTACAATAAAAAAATGTATGTTCAGTTTTGAAGGGAAATAGTTTTTGAACCAAAATATTGCTATTTAAGTTTTTTTGAGTAATGAATGTCTTTTTATCCATTCTGTACCATATTTATGAAAATTTGTCAACAAGTTATTTGCAGTATCATCAGTTTGAACAATAGTGTTGTTCTAAATCTAAATAGAAAACTAAATAAAGAATAAACTACTTCAATACTAAAGCAATTTGCTTTTACTCGATCTAAATGCAATAAGAAGGAAAGAAAATAACCTCATCTTCAAAAACAAGAGTCTTATGTAGATATGGGCGAAACCAATGTTTTTGAGTCCCGATCCCGGTTCCGATCTCGGAAATATTTTTCGGTTCGGTCCCGGTCTCGAAAAAATTTTGCTCTTGAAACACGAAAAAAACACTCCGTTAATGCCGGAAAGACGATATATAAACTTGTTTATTGAATAAAACTCTTTGTGCTTTTATAATCTCAAATTGAGATTTTGGTGTTTTAATAAAGTTTGCATGACACAGTAAACAGAATATCAATGTCTAAAAACGAACTTCTTAACAATTTCCTAAAACGTTTATACTTAAACATGGGAAAAGGTAAATTTTTAGCTGCTTTTACGAAATTGTCAAAAAAAAAATCTTGGTTCCAGTCCTGATCTCATTTCCGTCGGCACCGAGACAGTCCCGCCCATGTCTAGTCTTATGCATACTTATTATAACTTCATTATACATTATATTAATTCTGCTTGGCTCTAAACTAGAATTCAAAGGTGAAAAGTTTTTTTACTATCTACGATCAAATCAAGGACAAAAATACACAAACGCAGTTCAGAAAAGCGTTCAGTGAAACTTTGTCTTTTAACGCGGATGGTGTTCTATTCCATGCTAAGCTGTAGGCGGGCCTTCCTGTGAAACGTTTATCTGAGGCTAGTCTTGTCTTCTAGGATGCGGCCTAGTGAAATAGAGTATTCAATGTTACCTATATGTTTTGCTGTCCATAATATAGTCACACTTGAGATGGCCAACAAAACGAAAAACTATAATGAGATAAAATAAATTTTCCGTGAAGGTTTACGTAAACGAAATGCAATTAAAAATATGTGTATTTTAACTAACTTACTTAGGATGTTTTTTTATATAACAAATAATCTTCAGATAACGTTTCAAATTGTTCTATTTTATCTATCGCGAATACAATAATCGACATTTTCACAGATGAACTCGTTGTTGTTTCTGAACGATTAGTATTTCAAATAATGCTTTTAATTCAAATAGACTGACTCGAATTTGTGTAATTTTGCATGTATCAGTCTGCTCAAAACAAATACAAAGCTATGATAAAGCTATTTGAAATAAAACCTGTAGGTCGAAATGTCATTGAATTAATGCCAACTGGCTATATATATCTAAATGGTGCAAAATAACTCTTAATTGTCTATCACCCATCTTGCTGTCATTCTTCTCTTTTTCATTCGATAGAACAAACTCAAGAAAACAATATTCATTCAAACCAATGAAAAAAAGGCATAAGCCCGCTAAATAAAATTATTCTTGATGTTAACAAAATGATGCATGATTATATATAACCATGCATCATTTTGTTTAAAAGTTACTATAGTAACTTTTAAACTTTTTTGGATCTACTTTCATTCCGGGCCTGACTTATGCAGATGTCAGACGTAGTCGTAAATGTGAAGGATAATCGTAAAGGACCATTATGCCTGTTCCCGGTTAATTTCATAATAGAAAGTTTTTCCCTTCTTCTACGTAAAATTTCGTTCAGATTTAATCGTTGTACGTTTTTAATTAATATTAGCACTTTTCAAACTGCATAAAATCGTACAAAAAACATCTCACATTCTCTAAGAGTAAATGAGTGGGAGAGAGGAATAACAACACAAAAATTATAAAATATGTATATTACAGAAGAGAGATTTTTCTTATTAAGTTATAACAAAAGAGACACGGCAGGTAACTTTTTTCTCATTGAAATCAATATTTCGATTTTGCGCTATGTATAGCGACTTTTTTGTTTTGCAAATTGTTTTCAGCATTTTATTTTTTATCTATTATAGAGTTTTGGATAATCATGATTAACGACAAAAATACTTTCAAAGATGGTAAATAACGTTCACACTCTGCAACGACTTTTTCTTTTAATTATACATGATTGTGTAATACTAGTATTTAAAACTGAAGATCTGATTGAAACAAACGTTAGAATAGCTTGTTGAAATAAAAACTTTTCAAGAATGAACGAAAAGCATAGATACTAACGGTCATACGAGAAAGACCATCAACTTAAACAACTTGAGTTGTTTTTACTGTTTATCTGCTTAGATAGTCCAACGAACTGTCAATAATCATCCCAATTTTAGTTCAGCTGACTTAGGTAAAGTGCAAACAGCTCATTCAACATATTCCCAAACAGATGATATACAAGAATTGAAACCCACTGTTATCATTATTGAAGAACCCGACGATAAACCAATAACAGTAAACGTTGATACACAAACTCGTCGTCCTCTCTCTTTAACACTTTCGTCATCATCCACTTCTGAATCAACAATATTGCATATATTTAAAATGCCTGTCTATACAGTGCAAGATAGTCGTCGTTATTCTTCACCCTATGTCCTTTCACCATCTCCAGAAACCGTTATGATATCTAGGCGACGATCACCTCCCTCATCAACTATTCGCATTGTTGAAATTCCCTATGATGAGCGTTCTCCATCCCCAACTCGTATCGTAAGAAGTAACAGAAACCAAATTATCCAATCTGGTTATATTTCACAATCACCGGTTTCAAGTATTATAGAACAAAAACCACTTACACCATTGATTCAACAAAGACGAAAATATTCACAGCGTCTAATGAAACGACCAGTGACACCGATAACGCCAACTATTTCTGTTTCACCAGTATCACTGTCATCAAGTCCTATACCATCACCAATGAAAAAAAGGCGATCGATGATTCGAAATGATCGTGTTTCCATTCAATCAAGTCAAATTATACCCAGACGTAATAGATTCATTCGTGAACGACGCATAAAGCGTGCAATCACAGAAGAAAATCCAGTAGCTATTGTTTCACTGACACCGTTAGTGGAACGAGGAACTTCACCCAGGCCAAGACAACCGCGAAAGCAAGATAAAATAATTCCATTGAATCCCGAGAAAGATGTCTACGTATCTGATGAAGATTATTATGAAGAAGCATTTCCCAATGGAGTAAGTAATAATTCTCTATTTTTAATATTTTTTTTTTGCATTCATCTTTTTACAATACTAATATAAGAGTGTGTGCTATATAATTTTGCCTAGTGTACAATTGACTGTTGGCGAGCCTATTCACATAAAAATCGAGGAAGCAATAATAACTAATGAATGAAACTGAATTTGAATATTGTAGACTTACAAACCAAAATCATATAAATTTTGTAAATGGTGTCACGGAAAATGTGCAAAGAAATATCCACAATGTAATTTTTGCGAATGGTATTATAGCTGCCCGTGTTGTTGTTGGATAATTACAATGATCCTGCTCCTAGGACTCTTAATAGGCATATTTACATTATTGGGACTCTTACCCGGTAAGAAAACAAAAAGAAACAATAACACGAATTCAGTTTTTGAGTAGTTTTTTCCATATTTCTACTTTTTAAGAAACAAATCCATCTCAGAGACCAATCAATACACAAACAGTCAACGTCACAGTAAACGCCATTCAACAAAATTTACCATGTGACCCACTTACTGTATTCAATGCATCGAGTACATTAGTTCGTTGTATCGATACGACACCAGTTTATACATATGTAGTCAATCAAGTTTACAGCACAAGCTCCAAAATTACATTTAGTGTATTAAAACTATTCATTTCATCTATCATTTATGTGATCATTGAAAAATAAAACTAGACTATTTTCCTAAGAGAGAGATTCAAGTTTAGACTACATTTCTGTATTTTCGACATACTATGATCATTTATCTGATTTCTTATTCATTCAATATTAAATAATTTTTACTATTAAAAACGGAGTCATTTTGACGTCAAAAGTTCTGGATGCGTGCGCATAGCGCAAATCTTTTAAAAACGTATCGGTATTACATATATAGAATAAAAAGATCAAAAGCTTAAATAGAAAAGAGGATAGGTCATTTTATTTCTGTTATTTTCATATTCTTCTCATCATATAATTTAGAATTTCATCTCTATTGCAATAGTTGGTGAGTCCTCTGATGAGATTAGTTTTATATATTTCTTCTATCATAGGAAGATTCAAAGTTAAGAATTTTTTTCGAGTTTTTCAAATACAGTGTAAAAAACTTTCTCGGAACAATGCGAGACAATGAAGTCCTTAACGTATCATATCTGACCATTAGAATTAGATAGCATCAGAAAATTCTTAAATCAAAATTTGAATAAAAGAAAAGAATGTGAAGAAAAATTGAAGAAACAGAAAACATAAATGGAAAAATGGTAGTGTTTGTTTATGATGTTGATGAATGAATAGAGAAAAGCGCTATAAAACTTCTCTCTGATAAACAACAGCCATTATAGACTTAACAAAAGCTTATTAGGATTGCTTCTACGAAGTAAAAATATGAAAACTTCTATTGAATTGTTGGACTATAACATAGATGTATAAAAACACTGGCGCAACTATATTTCTACAGCGTTACCTACCAACATTCTTGTCTATTCTTAACAAGAAATTAAGATTATGTAAACCCCAATTTAAGACTATGTAACTCCATTTTAAGAATATGTAAACCCCACGTTTCAGTTATGTAAATCTCAACATTTTCAACCATTTCCCCGTATGATTCTCTCTATAAAAACAAACTTCAAACTTCCATTTCCTGCGGAAAACGGACGTGTCCTTGGAAGTTTTCACAAACCATTGATCTCCTAGAAAATTTCAGGTTTGTTTAGGATTCTTTTTCGAAATAGCGGATATGTCAGGACGTCTCAAAAAGTTTCAGAACAAATCTCAATCCTGTCGATCTTATCCTATCAACAGTAATTAGCATAGCACATACTATATCCTGCACGATTTGATCTTAGGAATAGACTACTGCTACTACTACTATAACACATGCTAGTTGAAAAATCAGTCATGTTTCACTAGTTAAATCTCCAAATTTCATTATTCTACTGTCTAAAAGTAGGGCTCTGTTAGCTGTATCAGAAATTACTTAGCAGAGAAACAAAATAGTTTTGTAACTTTAGAACCAATATGGATTTGTCTCCATTATTTCATTTAATATTATTAACAATTTTGATTGTCAATGCTGAAAATCAAATCTACACCGGTCTTGAATTAGATTATCTATTTCCTTCAATGATTCATGAGCCAGCGTTTACACTCACACCCAAATACAAAAAAGGAACATACAATTATTCATTTATTATGCCTAATGCAAGTAAACTATATGGTCCAAATATTGCATTCTATTTATTCGCTGGACAGCCTAAAGGACGCGATGCAAAAATTATCATAAATCAAGATAATCATTTTTTTCAAGAATTAACAGCAGTTGATTATTATCAATCACGTAAAATTCCGATGTCACTAACAACAAATCAAACGGTCATCGATCTTCACGTTGTCAATGAAGAACAAATTGGACCTGTCTACACGATTTATGTCAATCGTGCTAAATAATAGATAAAAATATTTTTTTAATCTCATGTATTCGTATGGAAATAAAATGAATAAGACATATTAGTTTGACTTTTGCCTATCATATCGATAATACATATTCGAGAGAATAGTTTTGTAGAAGTTTTACCATAAAAGTATCGTGAAAATTCGAGAAGAAAACAACGTTGCAAGTTCTCATAGATCAAATAAAAAGGATCCATTCATAAAACTACATCTGATATATTCTTTCTTATAATTGTTTCTTCTCATTTTTGTTCACATACTGTTCAAAACAAAAACAGCAACTACAAATTACATTAAAAAAAAAAGAGAATGAGGAAAAGTTTTCCGCTACATAAATAAAGACATGCACACATAAACGTACAAAAGCACAAGACTAACAAAACTCAAAGACCGGAAAAAAATTTGTAAGAAGAAAATAGAGTGGTTTCTGTTAGAAATTTAGTATTTTGGGTTATTCAATGTCTGCCTGCTTGTTTCACTTAGAAAGAGATCCTTATTTTTTTTTATTTCAAAAAATAATATTTATTATCTTTATTTTGTTGCTTCTTTGTATGTAAAACTGTCACATCCACGTATCATATAATTTTTTGGTGGATTAGAATAAACATGTGAATACATTTCATCAACATGTAATTCTGGATCATTCTGAGCATGATTTTCTGCATCTTCTACAATTTTCTTTACTTCATTATCAATTGTCTAAAATAGGACAAAAATGAAAAAAAATGTGATACAAGTCAAAATTATGTAATAATTCAACAAAATGAAATTACCTTAAATTCCTCGTCACTCGCAAGTCCAGCTTGAATTACTTTTTCACGAAATGATGTTATTGGATCACGACTTTTTCTCACGTCTTGAATTTCTTCACGAGTACGATAGCTAAAAGTTCAAAAATATTTGTTGCATCGTACAGTTGTGTAAATGTAGAGACAATATACCTTGTGCCAGGATCAGACATACTATGACCAAAATAACGATAAGTGGCCATTTCCATGATCATTGGACCTTTTCCAGACACACACCACTCTTTTGCAAAACGTGTTGCTTCACGGACAGCTAACACATCCATGCCGTCGACCTAAAATTCAAGACATAAATAACCATAAAGTCTTCTGTAAATAGTGGATGATATATATCCAATTTACCCAAATGCCTGGAATATATTCACATCTGGTATAAAAGTGTGGATTAGCACTTGCACGAGCTATAAATCAAAAGAAAAATGAATTTTGTCTAGAATTGGTTAAAATGAATTTTTTATAAATATAAAATACCTGCGCTTGTACCCATTCCATAACCGTTATTTTCACACACAAAAATACATGGTAATGCCCACAGTTTTGCCATATTGTACGCTTCAAATACTTGTCCTTGATTAGCTGCACCATCCCCGTATAATGCCACACAGATATTAGGTTCACCACGATATTTATGAGCGAAAGCAACCTATTTCGATAATAAAAAAAGTACATATTTAATTTTTAGTAAAAAACAGAAATTTTTGACATTTACTCACCCCGGCACCGAGTGGCACCTGAGCTCCCACAATTCCGTTTCCACCATAAAAATTTGGTGCATACATATGCATAGATCCACCTTTACCTTCAGCACACCCAGACTTTCTTCCGGTTAATTCTGCTAATACACCAGTTACCGAGACGCCCATCATATAAGACCAACCATGAGCACGATAAGCTGTTATTAATGAATCACTTTTGTCCATAGCGGCTCTCATACCGACACAAACAGCTTCCTAAAGCAAAATGGAATAATTATAATACTACATTGTCCACATATTGAAACCAATCGATCGAGATAAGTTTTTTTATTCAAATATATCTATACAATCAAACAATGCTATGAATAAGCGTTTTTAACCCCATGTGGTCAACTTCAATATCGATATTTGCAGAAGTAGAAATGACAATATAAAGCCCTTTTGTCTTACTTGACCAGAATATAAATGACAGAATCCACGAATAAGTTTTGACTTATACATATTATTAGCTGATGCCTCCATTCGTCTAACAACTTGCATTTTTTTGTAAAATTCTAATCCTTCTTCGCGATTACATGAAACATTTGTTTTGGGCCCTTCTTCTAATAAATGTAATTTGTACGCATTTTTTGCTTCATAATCTAATGTCTTCGAAGAAGAATCCGTTGATGAAAATCTCGACTGTTGTTTTGTGTTGACAGCTGAGGAACCTGAGATATTTATCTAAATATGAACAGTTCAGCTGTACATCCAAAGTATTCGCTAGAATATTTGCTCGTCTACTTACCGGTGATTTAACCGTATTACTATGAAAAGCATCACGACGTTGAAGTAGAATTCGTCGACTTGTATTTGGTTGTAGGATAGCGAGTAGTTTTGTATAACTATTCATAATAACACTCTGAATTCTTTGTACAAATAAAGGAAAATTGATTCGATTGGCCGTTTCTATTTCAAAAGCTCTTGGTTTTCTTTCAATTTTTCATCTAAAAAAAGCGTTTACAAATTCTAACAATAGTTATGTGAAAGAATATGGTTAGTGGACGCCCGAGGATGATGAACAGTTGAATCTAAACGAAATTTCAAGTAAAAGAAGTGGAAAAACTTTCTATTTTGAAATTAACCGGGAACATGCATACCGGCCCTTTACAATTATCCCTCACATTTACGACTGTCTGAGTGGAAGTAAACAAAACAAATTTTGAGTATCCAATAATGTTTCTGGGAGACCCGTCATGAAAAAATTTCTCGCTAAGATCGTGGGACCAGTTTCTTAAAAAACTTAAGCAAAATTTAAGTGAAAAATTTATCTTAAGTCAAACTTTTTAGTAAATGTATTTCTCAAACATTACTTAACTTAAGTCACCTCTCGATCACACTTAAGTTTCCACTTAACCTTTTAAGTAGAGAATTATTTAAACTTTATAACTTTTTTATTTGAAATCCGTAACCCATCCAACCCACCATAATTAGACTGAACATAATTTTTCAAAGATTTTGTTCAGAAAATTGCTGTAAAATAATCTAAGTTGTCTAAAATACGAATGCTACATGACCTCTGCCTGACTTAAGCTTTTTTAAGAAACGCACTTAAGCCAAAACTTAAGTTTGACTTAAATTTGACTTAAGTTGAAAATTCAAGTTCTTTTTAGAAAAGCACCCCTGGCGTTGTGCTCAGTAGTGCATTTAGCGACAATGTGTTCAAAGGACAAAAACTAAGGTTTTAAAAATTAAAGGTACATTCTGTTTTACACTTTGGTGAAAAGGAGTAATGTTCATCGTGTACACTATGAAATTTTGATTTACACTTTGTTCTGCAGACTTTCTAGCAGAGTTGTTCCAGTAAGAGCAGATTAAACAAATGCAACTGAAGCAGAAGCAAAAAGCTCTTTTACGTAAAACTCCACAATTTATCCTTATCCTTACAGTCTTGTATGCATTTCAACTTTTCTCTCTAAAATTTATGTGTATAGTTTAATATAAAACTAGAATATATGCGTATGGTTGTATAAGAAATCGCGAAATTTTCTTTGATCTCGCTCATATCACCAGTTAGTGATGGCACGTTAATCCAGACAATCAGCAGGAAAGTGTTGCGATTATAGATACAGATGAACAAAAAATCGTATCTAAAAATGTAAACAAAGACAAAAGGAATGATAATAAAAAAATAAACAAACAAGAACAACAACTGAAAAACAAAAAAATCGTGTAGACGTTATATATCATCCAATGAACAGTATTCAAAGCAGTCGCTTCACTTTTTATCTGAAATTTTCTCTAATTTTCATCTGGATACAAGGAGCAAAAATAGCATGTCTTGACAGTAGATTGTCGGAAATAATCCTTTAGATCGAGAAGCTAGCGTCCTCTGTCAGCCTCAACTTCTGACAGAATGATTCAGTTCTCAGAACATTACAGTAGTGGGAATTGTATTACTCATACAACTTACCTCAAGTTCGACCTGAATTTGTCGCATTATCAACGACATTACAATGTACTTCTAGCCTTTTCCGAAAAGTACACACTTCCAACAAAAATGACGTATCAAACAAACTCTTTGTTCGATTAGTCGATATGTAAGTCGTCTTCTCATTGCTGTTAGGATAGAGCTAGATAAAGTACGTGTGTGCTGAAAAGGAGTGTTTTCAAACAGCTGTTGTGCGTAAAGTTAGTGGTGTCGAGGATTTATTAGTATCAAACTTTGGTAAGTATCGAATTTATTTTCGTTCTCTTTATAGAACATTTGTCGAATGTAGATTCTTTGAACGCAGATAATGGAACAAGGTGATCAGCAACAACAATCAGGTGCAAATGTTGATGTTATTTCAATGGTCATTTGGTTATCTACAGGAAATGGCAAGTTCTATGAGTTGGTATGTTTTCCTGTCGTTCACTTTCTTGGATAAAATTAACCTAATTCTTTCATCTCCTTTAGCATGGTCAACGTGAAATAATAAAACAAGTGTTACCAAAATCGCCCGATAATGCATATCGATGGGGTTACTATAATAGTCCTGGTAAGTATCTTTGTCACCAATGTACTGCAGGAAGGTAAATTGTGAACATGTGCTTTCATCGTCCTTGGTGTCTTCAGAAGCTACTCTCTGCTATTTAACCTTCTTTTGTTTTTTTAAGCTGATCCTGATCGTGCCTCATATACACAAGTTCTAGAAGCATTTTTGAAAAATGGTTTTCGAATTGAGGGTAGTTCTGGAGCTGGTACACAAGGTTTGCTTCGTACCCAGTACATCCTGGTTAAACGTTCAGCATCATAAGAAGAAATATGAAGATGGGAAAGGATCTAGACGCTGATAAAACAACACATTCGTAGACAAAAGACAGTTGGCATGCAGTACTTTCCACAGTTTAGGTAGTTTATGTGACAACAGCAATGGCAGAATGAGTTAGGGAATTTTCTCACAAAAACTTAATAACATACCATTTATCAATTCCTGTTGTTTTGCTTTTTTTCTTTTCTTTTTTGTTTAACTCTAGTCTTAGTTTTGATTGTTCTTCTCTATGTTTCGGGGAGTTATTGTTGTTTACTTTTTCAAATGTATATTTTTTCGTCAAACAAACATAAAAGATAATTTTTCTATAAAATAACATTTTTTTTCTTCAATAATAGACCAGCAGTTTTTCATTTTGTTGTTTATGTGTATTTACGTGTAAGAAAGATTCTACCGGTTATGATGCACTCGTATATACCTGTTTGGTTCGTTTTTCTTTGTTTTAGTATAGCAGTGGTGGCTTTTTTGTTTTATATGTTTGTGTTTTGTGATGTCAGCGTTTAGAATGGTATGAAATCAGTAAGATGAAAAGAACGTTATTGATGAAAATAAAAACGAAAAGAAACAAAAATACATGGTTCAGTCTTGACTATGTGGAAGGCTACATTTGACATTAGCACGAAAGAGCAAGCAACAAACTGCACTCTCACTCGGTCGCTTATATCTGATATGGAAACACTTGCTCCTACATAGTCAATATATGTGGGACTTTGTTATGACGATTTTGGTTATAAAGAAAACGTCAATTTTTGTTTTGAAACGCATAAAAAAGTCGGCTGTAGGCTTAAAAAAAGAAAGTGCGTGCGTAATCTATTTACGAACAAAAACATATGGTAGCTGCCATGACTGGCTGGCTGGATCTTTAATTCTAAGGTACATTCTTTCTCTAATTAAAGATGTTAGATCTCAAAAAATCGTTTAAGCTATTGACAATATCTTTGCTAGAGTAATTCAACCACTTTCAAACTGAATAGTGGTCTTTCAAAAATGAATAGTGTTTAACAGCTGATAGTTGATTTGCAGAATAGGAATAGTGCTGGAGTGTGATGCACAGCCAGTTTCATTTCTCACATCATTCATTATTCGTGGCTTGTACTGAATAATATGAATCTAAATTTGAAGGCGTTTTTCTAAATGAGTGAATTTCATACATCATTCCATTTAGTCACAAATACTTTAGACGAAATTGATCATTTTCTTATGGTCCTTTTTTTGTTTATTTTTTTAGTCATTCACATCGGTCATCTATTCCACATCCTCACCATTCCAGGTATCGTCTTCCAGATCTCATAAATAGATCGTTGTTTCGCTTGCAGAATAATCCTTCAAATTAACAAACGAACACTATGTTGCGTTCCTACAACATTTTGCGTTGAAAAAGAAATTGATTTATTACTTGTATTGATTCATCGTACTAGTGCCATGACTGATCAATGATCAACATCAGCGGACAGCAGAAAAGGTCGAGAGTGAAAACAATTTTGATCTCAGTCACGGCCATTCATTATGCGAGAAAGTAAACAACAATTAAGGCTAAAACTTCAAGATTGTTTTTAACTCTTGTACAACTAGTTACTGAGGTTTCATGAAAATCCAAGGTGAATCCTACATTTCTGATATAAGCGTAATCTAACTGTATTTTTTTACAGTTAGAAAGTGGTGCCAAATCATCTCATTGACGCTGGTCACTTACTGACCACAGGTTTAATTATTCAGCCAATCAGATGTTTTTAAGTGATTCGTTTATACATCTGAAGCGCATAGATGGGTTGCAATACGCAAGTGAAGCTGGTCAGTCACTGACAGGTAAGTAAGTAATTTACCTGAAGTTATACATTCCTGGGACCACCTCCGACATAAACTAGTATATTTTCGTTTGAGATAGCCGGGATTATTCTTGTACAACAATTATCTTATTTTAGATTGATGATAATCGAATAGAAATATCTCAAAATCATGTTGTTTTGACATGAGTTTAGTTGCTCGCTCTACTCTCACATTAAAATTAGATCCAACTATACGAAGATAAATAAGTGATCAGTGTGAAGTTGTGTCAACAAAATGCTATTTATAAACTACTTAGGAAGTGGCCATGCTGAAAATATATAATCTATGCAATAGTAAGAATGTCTCGTATACAAGACAGAAGATCGATATTTATTTCTGGGGATCTCTAAATATCAAAATGAAATGTAAGTATCAGAAGAAAAACCTTTTGCTGTTTTATTGTCGATTTTGATTAGTTGATTACTACGATTCGAGTGATGATTTTAACTCAGAGTCTGATACTGATATTTTACGTCGGTTAGTATGATTAAGTTTACATTTACATATTGAATAATAAAGAGTTCAAGAAATATGAAGGTTCTAACAAAACAAAATTAAGAAATAGATCATATTCAGTAACAAGAAGATACTTAGAGCTTACAGTGTACTTTTGTTTGCACATATGTTTTGTAGTTGGCGTGTAAATCAATGTTTTTGATAAAAGTTTTGAGCAGTGTATATATATATATATATTACCTAAGCATTTTAGCTTATTTTTTAACTCGCTATTACGGAAATAGAATGTACATTCAATTTTTAGAGTTTAACCCATACTTTGTATCTGCTGCATACATTATATTAAAAACAGAAGAGTAAAACATGAATATAACTAAACCTTTTCAAAATTAAAGAAGTATTCGATTTAGCATTAGGGCTCACTTTTACGATATAGCATATAGGTAAAATTTAATTGTGTAATTATTTTTCTCTTCTTAATTGTTTATTTTTACATCCATTTAAATGGAAGTCGTTATTTTTTTCTTTTCTTATAATTGTGTTGTATGGTGAGGATATTTTTAGTTATAAATTAAATAATAAGATAATAAGAAAAATAAATGTATTTTTATGTTATTTGTTTAAATTTAAGGAATTCTGATGTGTCACGGCATTCTTGTTATAGAAGAGATGTTATGTTAGAAGAGGGTTACTTGAATCATGAAAATCGTACGCCTACCCATCCTTATTTTCATTGCTTATTTACTTTACAAACTGACGTTGGAAACATGGAATCTTTCCTAGTCGAAAATTTATCTACGTTAATTGAAATTATGTACCTAATATTGTTGTGATAAATACATTGTTAGTGAGACGGTAAGAAAACTGTTTGTTCAACTAAAAATTCTTTAAAAGATCCTTAACTAGGGACATTATTTTGAGATAAGAAAGTTCAAAATCAACTTTATATCGAGAATAAGACTCTTCAATAAAAGTACTAATAACGCATTTAGACACATGAGATTATATTACGATGGTATAACTTATATTAATTAAAATTTTTAAGTTTAAAAAGTTGGTTTTACTCTTTGCTTTGTTTTTTTTTGTTTTTTTTTTTGTTTTTTTTATTATGCATTTTTCTTTCAAAGTATTTTTTGTTTTAATTGCTGATTTGTTTTTTCAGATAAAAGATTATTACGATCGTCTTCCATCTTTCTCTCTAGTTTGTTTGTTTTAAATATATTTTTAAGAACAAAAACAAAAAAATAGTATAAGTTATATATATAGTATAGTTTCTCTCTTTTTCTTTCTAAATTACTTTTCATTATTTTTTTTTTTAAATGGAACCCATGTACACATATACTTAAAATTACTATTATTATCCATGTCTATTCGTTGTTTAGTCTTTTGACACATATAAAATAATCGTTATATAATGTTCTAGTTAAAAAATTGTTCGCATTCATTTTCTTTTTTCAATGTTATTTTTATTCTAAATAGAATCATACATACCTGCACAATGTCTGATCTCAATTTAACGGATGAAGGAAGACAAAGGTATGTTAAATATTTCTGATACAATTGTTCATAATATTAGATCGTAAAAATCATTATTTTTTATTTTGAAATCATCTGCTTTAATTAGTGATGAAAATATTATTACTGCTGTTTATCCTTAGTGAATAAAATATTTTGACAGTATTGATCAGTAATTAGTTTTACATTTGCTTGAAGACAACCTGCTGTCAATATTCTTCCGAATTATGCAAAATATTTTTCTTTTATCATAAATAACTATGAGTGACTGACAATCATTGATTATCAGCTGTATAATATGTCAATGAAAAAAAAATCAAAACGCCAGAAATCTGTTTCACATATACTTGACGTATTACATTAAAAAATATACATAGAAAAAAAAAGAGGCGTACGGTAACAACTGTTTAAATTTAAAAATTTGGTGCTATTCTTTTTTTTTATTGTTTAGCTTGTATGCAATGTATGATTTGACGGACAGAAGAACAAAAAAAAAAAAAACGAACTAAAATCGAAAATCTGATTTTTCTTCTTGTTATAAAATAAAAATAAACAAGAATTTTTGTTTCTTATGTTGCATGTCTTTTGAGACATCTCAAAGAAAATAAAAAGTTCGAGGGTATGACACGGGAAGGATTATATTTTTATTATTTAATTTTTTTTCTTGTACCTTTATAAGGCGAACATTTTTATTGTTACTTTTTTAGAATACAATAAAAAAAAAAAGAAAAAATCAATTTTGAGATATTCATATGCGTAGTTTCATCCTTCTACTATTTATTGTTTTTAATAAGCTTACAAGTTCCATCATTAATACAAAAAAGAAATCCTCATCAAGGCAATCTTTCTGTTGTTGTTTTAAATAATTTTGAAGAAAAGAAATGAGAATTATAGTAATTTATTAAATGAGATCATAATACAATAGGAGCTTATCTTTTTAAAGCATGTCATAAAACAAAAATATTATAAAGTAGCGTTTTATTTCTTGTTTTATAACGAACTTTAATAGTTTGTATCCTACAAGAAGATGTTTATACCTATTTCATATGCATAAAAGGTACTTTCGTGTTTATGTTTTGCTAATGGATAGAAAAGAGAACTTGTTTATTAATTAGATAAATATGTTTACAAGGATCTGTATGCGCTTTTTGTTAAAACATGTTTAAACACGTTTCTCAGAAACCTTAGTAAAGAAAAACATGTTCAATTTTTTAAAATATCAATATTTTTAAAAGTTATGAACGTTTTAAACGATGTGTCATCGATTAAAAGTCGTCTTTTGATTCTACACTATTTTTGACGCATTATCATACACTCAGAGAATATTTAGAAGAGTATAATAGTTAGAGTACTAATAGAACTCGGCTTGATCTATCTTTGAGCCCGTCTTGAACTTGAAAAAAACAATAATGTGAAGACAAGTAAGGAAAAAGATTATTATCCTTTGCCTAACAAGAGGATGCAGATCTATAAACATTAGATTAATATGGCAAACCTCAAGGCTTGTCGCATAACGTGATGGGAACAATGATGGGAAGGAACAACCTATTAGGCTTATAAATGCATTCACAGTTCTGTATGATAGATGTGGTCAAATACGTTTTTATTAGGACATTTTATTTCAATTTTTCCAAACGCACTTCTTCTGCGTTTATGTGTGTCATATCGAGATGCACTGCTAGTACTTGAACGCATGTAATGCACAGCATTCAAAATTTTGAATTCTTTCATTACACACGTTCAGACGATAGTGGTACATCCAGATATGACACATATAAACGTGTTTATAGGCATTTTCTAGAATAATTAGAAATGTGTTTGAAAGCGTTTTTTCAACCTTTTTTCCCCAACAAACATGTCTGATTGATTTGGAGGTGGAATGTGGCGTTACACACGTTATTTTTCAGCGTTGCAAATACATACGGGTAATACAAAAACAGACTACCTAATATTTTATGTTATTATTAAGATAAAAGATTCAGGCATTGATGAAAGAATGTAATCATCGCAGTTGCTGCAAGCTTTTTCGAAAATGAATTGGATGTTATCTAGTCGTATTTTAGACACAGTATATATTAAAGAAGTCTAATAATAAATTGATCATAAAAAAAATTACTTTTTGTATTTATCAATAGATGTCAAAAAATTGAGGAAAATAAATTACTGCAGACAAATATATCGATCTTTTTTGTGTATAATAAAATTCGATTATCTACTAGTGGGTCGTAGCTATCCCTTCTGTTATATGTATTTATTTTTCTTTTCTAGTTAGAATGATTAATCAGATACATAATTAATCTTAGAGGTTTTTGTTCTATTGACGAGTGAAAGCAGATTATTATAAATGATTACTTTCTAAATTTTTACGATTTTATTTAATTAAATATTCTTTTATATACAATAATAACAACAGCAACATGGAACATTCGGAATTAGTCCAAGAAATGCTTTTATTAGAAAAGATGACCGCACAAGAACGATTGAAACATGCACGACGAAGACGACAACAACAATTAAAAAATTGGATACAACGTGAAAAAGAGTTATTATCAACAACGACCACTGCTATAACATCTCTTGCAACAACATCTACCATACCGAATGGAGAAAATACAATGACAAAAGCTGCACAATCTTATTTAAAACCATTAACATCTTTCAAACATCTAACAAAAAATAGTTCACAAGTGAAATTTCCTCAAAATGTTGTTTTACTTGATGGTTTGTTGATTGTCAATTGACTTTTTCAATTTATTGGACAACTTTATTTTCTATTTTAGCTACAGCACGTCAAGATGTGGATGAAGTACGTCGTCTATTACAATCTGGCAACTACAATCCAAATACAGCCAATGAAGATGGTTTATCACCAATTCATCAATGTTCAATTGATAATAGTGAACAATTATTACTATTATTAATCGAATTTGGTGGTGATGTTAATGCACGCGATAGAGATTTATGGACACCGTTACATGCAGCAGCCACATGTGGTCACATGCAAATATGCAAAATATTAATTGAACATGGAGCCGAATTATTAGCATTGAATGCCGATGGAAATATGCCGGTAAGATACTCGGTCTATTTTTTGTATCATGTACATGGATCCAGATTTTATTTATGTAATTTAGTATGATATTTGTGATGATGATCAAACATTAGACTATATTGAAACCCAAATGGATCAAGCGGGCATAACACAAGAAATGATTGACACAACAAGATCAAAATTAGAAAATCAAATGCTAAATGACCTTCAACAATTGGTTAAAAAAAAAATATCACATAACTCTTCTCGGACAGTAGATGATGTACTCTCTTACAGAAATTCGGACGGTGCCACACCATTACATATCGCGGCAGGTATGTGATAGCTCATTTAAATAATGACCTGTCTATATTATGTGTATTTTAGCAAACGGATATCAATTTGTTGTCGAATATTTACTACGGCAACACATATCTATTAATGTGCAAGATAATGATGGATGGACGCCACTGCATGCAGGTATTTTGAAATATCACTAGTTTTATTTTATCAATAATTTCTCTTCTTTCTCTCATTAAAGCTGCGTTTTGGTGTCAACAATCCATTTTGGCGTTACTCATCGAAGCTGGAGGCGATATATATGAGAAAGTACCTGATCAACGCAATGCAATTGATCTATGCGACGATCCTGATATACGAACATTTATGACTGATTATCGAGAACAATGTATTCGAAATCAACAACAGCTTCAAGCAGCTCAACAAGCAGCAGCTCAGGCTGCTGCTCAACAACAACAGCAGAAATCGACGAATCGTCTGTTAGCTGCTAATGGTTTACCACCACCGACTACAGCTAGAACTGGTACACTCTATGAATCACGCTCGTCTGTTTCATCACCTTATGGATCTGGTTCGAGTTTAAATCGAACATCGTCGATTCGTCGTGCTTCATTACGTGACAGAGAAAAAGTTAAAAAATTAAATGCAAACTTTTTTGATGTGCTCGAAGCGAAAGACAAAATACATGAAGACGTTGACGAAGCAACAATAACAGCACCTCCTATTGTATCCACTCTAACAAAACCATCTACAAGTGATAGTAAACAAACTAAATCACCAGTAGTTAAAGAAGAACAAGCAAATAGTTCAATGACAGTCGGTACCGACATAACTGTTCTTCCATCATGTATAACAGCGAACACGACTGAATTACAAATGACAACTGTGAAAAAACCTGCTCCAATGACGAATATGGTTCGAAACGAACCTTCTGAAATGACTCTAAGCAATAATCACAATAATGGTACATCATTACGACCATTACCTTCCATTTCTACTACCAGCGTCCCTCTGCCTGGTACACTAATAGATGTTAAAAGAAAACGAGATGAAAAACGTCGTGCAGGAAATATAAATGATGTTTTCGCAACGCCGATAATGAACGGTAATGGGAAAATAAACGATAACAATCACAATGAAAAAACGACTTATGGTGGTATGCCTAATAACATTACAAATTTAAGTCGAACAACTCTTCCTCCTCTACAACATCAACAATTAACGATAACAAATAATAATGATCTATTAAAAAAATATAGTTCACCAAAACATGTTGAAATTGTTGGACATTTAAATGATGATCAGGAAAAACGTATATGTTGCGTTATTTTGTAAAGTTGATCTGCTTTTATGTTTGTTATGTTCCTAGGATAGATTTCACTGTTACTTGATATAATATCAATCAAATAGAATAAGGAACAGTAAAATGAAATATGCGATTTGTTAATCTTTTCTTTTTTTTGCCATAGCGTTGTTGTTGTTATTTCATGTAAAATAGTGCATTTGGAATATAAAATAATGCATTCTCTATACATGTGAGCTTTCTTCTGTTTGTCTTTCAAAAGAAAAAAACATTACGAAATGTTCCACTCGCGTTCTTCCGTCCTTCTACTAATGTGGTTTTTTGTTTTTGTTTACAACCCTGTGCGTTTGTGTTTATATGTGTCTGTAAACAGTATAGACACCACGAGAATGTTTTGATCTGCTTTTCTTTTTATTTCTTTACGAAGCGAATGATATGAAATTCAACAATTATGCGAATCTCTTTAACTCTTTTTCTCTATGCAATATTTTGGAAAAAAACATTTGTCATATCACTGATTAGTGGTGCTTCAGAAATACACGGTTTTTTTTATACTTTATTCCGTTTATACATCGTCTAACGACCAACCATGAATTTTTTTCTTTAGTTTAGTGGGACACATTTTGCTCTGTCTGTCAGCGTTTTATTATTACTTTGCTCTCGATTAGTGTTCTGTTCAAATTTTGTTTGTTTTTGTTGAGTCGTGAGTTCAACGCATTCCCATATTAGAAGATATACAGCACAAGTAAACGAACAATTTCGAATTTCATACTTTGTTATTGCTTTTTTTTTCTCAGATTTTGTTTTTTATACACATTTATCTATATCTTTCTGTATATCTATCTATTTGTGCATGTGTCGATATTTCTATAAAATAAAAAGTAATTACCGATACATTTCAATAGTAATTAGCGTTCAAAAGTCTACATAAATCTTAATTAAGTATGAAACATTGTGAACTAAGAACAAAAAGTTGGATAAAATATCAAAATTAACCGTTGTTCTTTCTCTTTATTTCGAAAATATGTATGGTAATATGAACATCAGTTAACTTGCTTAAATGTCATACATGTACAAGTCTAAAAAGTCTAAAAGTAGTTTCATTTCATAGCTTATGTTAGACTTTTAGACTTAGATTTTCATATTTATCAGACTTATAGTGATGACTACCATGGAAGTCACTAGTGGAATTTGACGTTTGAACTACATTTCGGTTCGAACGGTTTGAATTCTGTTTTTAAATTGGTACTATGGATTTTCCAATTTCGACTTCGAAAATTTTTGGACTATGTTTGACGCAGAGTGTCGGTTCGTCTTCGATTTTGCATTCAACTATGCATCAGAAGACGACAGGTGTATATGTATCGGAAAACAAGGTCGCATCTCAAACCGTTTGATGGGAATTGTCTGATTTTTTCTTATTATAATAGCCCAAAATTTTTCTGTAAATGAGAATCAAAAGACTTTCTACTCTGTTTTCATCTGATATTAAAAACTTTGGAGACTCTTGAAAATACGCTATTGTAAGAACATACGTTATAGGAGAACGTCCGAGACTCACATAGTTCTCTTCGTTGAGTGTAATTATACGAGCAAACCGACAGGAAAGTTATACTGTAAATGCACGTTTAGTCTAACGTACATTACTATGCGCAAATCTAAAAGTCTAATTAGCTTTTTGACTTCTACACCACTCTTAAATGTAGGATTTAACCCTTGGCTTATGAAAAAGAAATAGAGGGACCTAACTCGATTATGTGTGTTGCATGAGCAGGGCTCGCATATTTGGTGACTCATGGGATAAACAAAGGAGCTGTCATGGCAATTCATTTGTTCATCCCACATGACTTACCAAATATGTGAGCTCTGTCCATGAGTTCCATCCTTCGAGGAAGATGAGAAGTTACTCTACTAAACGAAGTCATTCAAAACTGTATCCGAACTAATTGAAAATTCTAGTTTGGGAAGAGCGATTAGCACAAAACCGTCAAGGTTAATAGATGATTTAGTTGAGTTCTTGGAAAGTGTCTGAAACACTTTTTTGATGTCAAGATAAACCAACGCATTAACTTACATTACTATGTTGTATGGCATATTTCTACATCTCGTGGTCACTGAGAGGTATCGAAATAAAAAAATACATTTGTTTTCAAAATTTTGGTCAGAATCTAGAGCTTTATATATCTAGAGATTTACAGAGGCACTAAATCCAATATGTTTCGTTGTTCAATGTGAATACTTCATGAAAAAATATCTGGCGTCGTCTCATAGATAATCGACCTTTCATGCTTTCTGAATTCGAAAACGTTTTATGTACTGTTCTTTTTCAATAACGCGAGCACTTTTTTTGCTGAATATACTGTTGGATAGTTTAGCAGATTTCTCATAGAATTATCCTGCACTTGATTAATATTCATATAAATTATAAACATAGACTAATATTAGTGCAGTAGCGGAGGCTACTGTAATCAGCATTTTTTTGTATCAATTTTCATATGTGCCCATTGGACGTGAATTTAAAAGATCACGGAAATACCATTCTTTTGATTCCGGTTGACAAATTTTTTAAGAAAAATCAGGTAAAGATCGGTTACAAAAACTAAGCTTTTTTTATGGCGAAATCACTGATTAGATCACGAGAAAAAATTTAATTAAGCTTATGCTAAGATAAATATGTTTTAGATCTCGCAATATTTGAATGCATAAACCGTCTTTATTCTTCATCTAATTTATACTAGTTTTCCAATAAATGTCCAGCTTCATGTATTTAACAAAAAAAATGAAAATAGACAGAGAAACACTCGAACTTGTGTGATGAGATACTATCATTAGTACCAACTGGAGAAATGTGTATGCTAATATAAGAAGAACATAGATTGTCAAATGATGAGATATGCTTCCTTGATGACAGTATTATATAACACGTACATTTCTAGTTAGTTAATATGTTGATATCCTTTTCAAACTTTAAATACATTTCTACAAACTAGATCCCTACATCTTTGTGCGATATGTACAATTTCCGATATCTAAATCATGTCTTCTGGTCATACAGATGAATGAAGATATATTACACGCTTTTTCCCATGATCTTTTACATGTTTTTGGTATAAAAAGATCTAGTTTTCGTAACCGAGATCTTTTACATGTTTTTTTTCGAAGTTTTGTCAACCAGGATCAACAGCATGTTATTTCCGTGATTATTTCTCATTTTGTCCCTCAACATTTAGTAACAGTGAAGATTCTCTTTATCTCAGTTATAGGTCCAGATTTCTGAGATCCGATTTAATTTTTTCTGATTCTTTTTCCAATCACTTTAATATCGGACAATAAGTGGCCTTTATATCAGTCATGTCTAGAATTGAAATTAGATTGATACATCATGTCTTATAGGTGCATGAGAGCGGCAAGACACTGCAGCGAGCGTCTCCGATTACGTATGCAGTAGAGCTCGTAGACTCGAGCCTCATACTCGACGTGTATAATAGAATAACCGACACGCGTACTGGAATTATTTTTTGGCTTCTGTTAAGTTTGAGACGCTTCGTCGATCATGACCGTTTGTATGGTGCTACTTTAACTGTAGTATATTTCAACGACTTCATTGTTTCACTAACCATTTAAAAACACAATGAAATTAAGGAAAAATTCAATAGTAATCGAAAAATCAATTAAGGAACATCGATTATCTTTGACAAATAAAGAGGTTTTTCGACATTGTAGTAAGGATGACTCTGTTGTGAACTCCATATTTTGCTTACGAGTTTTTCTGAAAAAATATACCATTTAGTAAAGAACACTTATATCTAAATTTATAACTTTTTTGAGATGTTTTTATAAGTGCAGCTGTCGTATGTAGTATTCGAAACATCATTGGTAAGTGATTCTATATGTAAATAAATGTGTTTTATCACATATATCGTGCACGCGATGTGAAAAAGAACTTTTTTCATTATTATTATTATGAAAATAATCTTCTCGTTAATAATCATTACATCTATATTATATATGTATCTATATATATATATTGTACAAATACATCATCCATATATATGGAGAAAAACAACGAAAACAAAACCAGTCTTTTACATATATTACCATAACCAACAAAAGCAAAAGAACAAAATACTATCGAAAAGAAACTCTTTTTTACATTCACCATTCTAATCGAATCGAAATGAGGAATGAAGAGACAAGAGAGAAAGAGAGAGAGAAGGATACTTAATATATTTTTCTGTTTTTTGAAAATGAGCTGTTAATCAATTAGCGAATATATTAATAATTATTTATTCTGGAAGAAAAGAACAGAACACCGGGTTAACATGTGACAAGAGAGAAAGAAAAGATCTTTTAGTACACGTAGAAAAAAAAGATTTTCACAGTTTTGAAAGACTATTTATTTCTTAATTGCCAATTCTTGCTCAAGACCGTCAAAATGTCATGCCTTTTTCAGCTGAAAGGTATTGTTTAAAATTAAAAATTTAAATTCCAGTACCATATTAAAACTTCTAAAAAACATTGCTTTAATCAGCTATATGAAAATATTTCCGAAATAAATTATCGATATATCGATTAGTTGTTGAATCTCTTGGCTGTTGTACATGTTCCACTTGACTATCATAAGTAGAATATGTTCATGTACAATTATTCTTTCACCAGCTTGACCATTAAATTTTGGTCATTAAGGATTTGTAAATTGACGATTGCTCAATGGGACATATGTTTAGAAGTAAATGAGGTTTAATAATCTCATTTCGAGTATAAAATTGCTTTAAATTCTAAATTTCAAACGGGAAATATATTCTATTAGATGCGTAATTATCAACATTAACTCTTTACCTTCATAGGATACTTTATTGTCTTCATCAGTATCAGCTTCGTCTATCATATCAATGACATCCTCCTACAAACAAAAAAAATGAGTATACGCCTACAACAAGTCATTGGGCAGATGAATTGAAAATAAAATGTTTCTATATCTACGGCATCGATTTACACATATTTATCCGTCTGATCATCTTACTTTGCCGTAGAACAGCTAGAAATCTTTGCTTACTTCAGTGATATTCTCTCCTAATCTCTTCAACATGTCGTAAAGCTCATCTTTGTCGATAAATCCATCTCTGTTTTTATCAAATACCTGTAAAAGAGGGAAAAGAGAATATATGAACGATGAAATGAAGAATAGTTCAATACTAACATCGAATACATGCTTCAATTCATGATCCAATTCACCCGCTGACTTCCTTCTTTGCATCATTGTTAAGAATTCTTCAAAATCAACTTTACCATTTCCTTAATAACATATGAAACATTGAATGAAGACAAAACTACGGAAAAATATAAGAGAACATGGCTTTCCATTTTTAGAGAACGGATAACGGTTTTTGAATTTTTCTGACGAAATTAAAACTAAAGCATATAGTACAAATACAAACTACGATAACTGGAGGAGAGTTAGATCTAGACTAACATCATCATGAATAATATGACTGTACAACATACTCGCGATTCATTTTATCATCTTTCAATAAAAAAGTATAAATACGTAGTATACATGATCAATTCTAAGATTCAACGCAGTCTAAAGTTATGCTGAGACGCGATTGGAAAGTAGTCGATAGATTTACACGTAATGATATGTTAAACAAATTTATCACAAGTAATTCAGTATCAAAATTTCGATCAAAACAAGTCTCAGATAGTATAAAATTATCTTATCGGTGTTTGTCGTACAACCTCAACAAGTATTTCCTGCTCAAATATCTAGTTTATTAAATAAACTATTATCGTTCGTTCATTCGCCCATCTATTAATAATTTCGAAAATTCATGATGACTGATGACGAATATTACTACATATGAATCATACGATTTCAAAATCATTCTCCAAACAATGTTATCCATTCTCTTTTCAGCTATAAAAAATATGTTCTCTAAAAAATGCGAACCATTCTCTAAAAAGTGAAAAATCGTTGTCTTTTAGATTCTTGTCTCAAAACTACGTACAATCTACTATTTGCGTTTTGTTTTTTCAAAGAAAAATAATCGCAAGTATGATTTTGAGTTGTTAATAAAGATCATAAGATTACATACCGTCAAGATCAACTTTTTTAATCACTTCTCCAATATCCTCTTCGCTTGGGCTATATCCAAGAGAATTCATCAATGATCTTATTTCATAATCACTAATGTGTCCATCTCGGTCTCGATCAAGAACACTGAACGATTCTTCGAAAACTAAACAAAAATACGAAAATAATTAGTTCTATTGATGTCAATCCCAGATGGCATTTTAATTATGTGTATATTGCTGTCATCAGTACCCAAGAGAAAACATGAACGCGCAGGGATTTTTATCAATATTCTTAAGTTCATGATCCAGAGTTCTCTCTCTTTTTTCAACATTTATTTAAGACAACTCTGGAGATGCATTTAGTCAATGTTTAGCGTAAAAGAACATTCCATGGAGTTAAGACAATCTTGGTTCGTAACTCGAATTGATATAACGTCCACACATGAATTTATCGCGTACGTTTTTAATTTTATCTCGGTGCATAAATTACAGACGGATTTCACCAATTTCTCATGATCATCCTTAACATGTTTTAGAAAACTTAGTAGGACTGTCCTGTAAGGCGAAAAGCCAATCTTGGAAAATTTTTGTTTCTTCATAGCGATGCTGAGCTGTTCTGCATTCTGCATAGCACTCTACCCAATTGTAACCTCATCCGGAAGTGTGTTCAGTGCAGTGGAATAACAATAACACAGGGGTAATTTTAGAACAAGTTGAAAATAGGGAAGGACTAAAATCATATCACTCATAGAAAGAGTTGACATGAAAGCATGCATTGAAAGTGAAAGATTTTTCGTGAACTATTATGTATAAAAACGCGGTTTTACATAAGAAATAATGGATGGGTTCAATTAAAATCGATCGTGGTTTTTACCTGCAATCTGTTCTTCTGAGAAACCGTGCACGGCACTCAACTCTCGACGACTTTTCCCGGTGGTCGTCTAAACAAAAAAATCAAAATATGAATTGAACTAACAAACAATATGTATATTGCATGAGTGTGATTAAAACTTTCTTTTTGTTATGCTACAGAATGAGAATTTTAAAGAAATGGCAAATATTATCATAAGCCATAGAAGGATGATGGATATATAGATACATACAATGAGTACATAGGTTTTTGTTCTTTTTACAGTTCGTTTAATAGATGTTTGTTTGAACGATATTGTTTCATATTCATACGTCGATGTTGTCGATGTACGACGTGTTTCATTTGTCGTATAAATGAGTGACATGTGTATGTATGTATGAATGTGTGAGAAAACCTTGTGGGGATAAACAATGTTAAGATATTTTTCTCGAAATACTATACGATTAAATAAAATATGTTTTCATTGTATATTGTATTATTAAGATTTAAAAAAGAGTTTTTGACAGCAATCCATACGATTAATCTTTACGGCAACAAACACGTTGGTAGAGTAAAGTGTATTTGAGAATATTTTCCTTCTTAATCGAAACAAATTATAGAATATGCATCATATCCCCTTCTCTCTCTCAAACAGGCATAATTTTTATGGGACTGTTTTCTCAAAACAGAAAAAAACGATAAATACACGTCAAAAGGGAAAAGATAGATATCATATTTTTGTTGAGTATACGTGGAAAATATATTGCACTTTTATATCTATACACATACACACAATATCCTCATCGCCGTCACAAAAATAACACCGTCATCATGTGATAATTAACACACTAAAAACATTTTCATCCTCTCTTTCGCTTTCTCTCTCTTCACTACGATTATATGGGGGAGGGGGGTGTTAAAATAAGTAATCAACTCTCATACGTATATATAAAAGCAGTGCTCAAATCAAGTTAGAGAGTGTCAAGTAAACAAACAAACAATATGGATATGTTTTTACTCCTGAAGCATCCAGAATGGTAGGAAGAGCAAAATAATCTTTGACTGATAAAAATTGAACATATAAAATGTGTACGTTGAATCATGTACTAGAATAATCATATCGATGACGAAAGAAACCGTTTGTATAGAAGTTTGATTTAATGGAGATGGGAGGGGGGGACGGTTTAAACTAATAAAAATATGTCAGATTGATCTATAATATAAAACTGTACAGCAATAATACTCGATTAGTTCTTTACACTTATATGGATGAAGAATAATCTTGCATATTATCTACTATTCTTTTAATGAAATGAACCGTTTATTATCTAATGATGTTCTTAATAATAATAATTGTAATATAGGCCGCGTCAAAATGTTTATAAAATGTCAACTGTAGGAAAAAGTATTATCTGGAAAAATACATATATAAGAAAATAAATCATATTTTTATGGATCACGTAAACTAATCAGAAGATTAACAGAAGAGTAAAGATGAGTTTCTAATACATTAAGGAAGTCTCTCTCAGGTATTACGACTATTTTTACAACTTTAATATTGAAATATACACATATTCGAACAATTCTGAGTTTCTACTGCCAGAATTTGTATCAGTTTTTTAACAAAATTCACTCATTTTCATTTTTTAAAAAGATTTCTAAAGATTACACGAACTTTTTATTAATAAATTATACAAAGCTATAGATATAACACTACGCTTAAAAATGAATCAACCCTTAACGATCGCTTGTTCGAGAGTAATGACACAAAAAATGCTCTAATTAAATCTTTAGTCTAATATCTTCTCAGCTATTGCAGTTCTCGTACTCTATAGTACGATACTTTTTTCTCAAAAATATTTTTGCGCATCGGAATAAAAATGAAAAGAAGAGATTTCAAAAGTTTTCTTAATAAAACTAAAGATTTCTGCCAAAAGAAAGATAATGTTTTTGAAGCATAAATTCAAATGTTTGAGGAAAAAAAGAAGAAATTGTCCAAATCTTTTTTAAGCTCTACGTGTCTAGTTTACACTCAATGTCTGCAACTGTTACCTTTATCTTTATACCATACTGAATGCTTAAATTTGACTCGTGTGTCATCTACAACTCGTGAACTATTCAACATTGCAAACCTGAAATTTGTATCAGAACCTATTTCGATATGGAGCTTTAATCCGCTAAAGGCTTATTTTTATTAACATGCATCATGTAGAAAAAGAAGCTTTCGGAGAGTGTTGATTCTTAATCATATACGAATAACTGCTGATGTCTCGTGAGCATCGTGATACGCTCGCTCTTAATTATGACACATGAGAATTTATTATGTGACAAGTTAGCTTATTATTCATAAAATACATACTATCATAATATCGTCAACAATTCGTGTTGGATAAAGATAATTTTCATCAATTTTATGTTCAGTTGTATTATTGGTAAATGATAATGAATGTCTTAATTGATATTTAGGAATTTTTTCATTTTCTAGTAAAATGTTTGATACAGAAGAAGGCGCGGATGACTCCGAATCCGAATCGGAACATAATGTAAACGTTGCTGTTCTTTCACTTTTTGAGTAAAATTCTTCTTCTTGTTCGAGTTTAAACGATGTATCATCAAATGATGAAAATATTAGAGATGAATTATTTGAATAATAAATGTCTGACGAATCATCTTTAATGCCGCTATTATCAATCGAATCTAATAAACTCATTTGTAAATATTCACCGTTTGGGTATCGTTGTTCACAATTGATCATTATTTGTTAATTTATCCTGCATAGTTAGAGAAATAAAATATTATTCGTCTGTTTTATTCATCATATTTATTGTACCTGGTTTGGGTGGAATACACACATACCAGAGAGCAAAAAAAGAAAAGAGCAGATGGAAAAAGCGTTTGCTCTCCGTTTTCAAGTGTTTGTATAAAAACAACTTCTTCAAGTAAACGAGCAAACAATAAACGCAAATACGTTGATCAACAAATGGATATAAAAAAAGAGAAATTGTTTCTTTGTTCTCTATGGTAAAGATAGAATGATCAAATTTATTCATATTGACATATGGAGGAATGTAAAAAACAAACAGAATAATGATAATGATCGATTGTATGCGCCTTTGACATTTCGACTTTTCTTCCGTTATAAGAGGCGACATGTTTTTTTTTCGTAATAAAAAACAATAACAGTTGTGGGAAGGAGAAAAAAAAAGTTAAACAATCCTCAGAAGTGGAACATAAACAGCTATAATCCTGTAATATCTGTTGAGATAAATGTATCTGTATAGTTTATCGTTTATGCAGATTTCAACGAGGTACTTTTATATTCAAATGACCTCGTTGAAATTCTACACAAAAATATACATTTGTCATGATTGATGACAACTGTTTTTTTGTTCCGAAAAAAACAAAACTAGAATGAAAATCTGGAACTGTTGTTATTCACACCCGCCTCAAAAGAAGAAACGAGAGAATTTTATCAAGAAAATGTTATGATATAAAATACAGAAACGAGGTACTCTACTCTATTCTACTATAATAAGAGAAAAAACTTCATAAATTTATCGCAGATAATAAAACAGAATAAATCAGTGTTGTATACAATTATATTCTACAGCTATTTTTAGAGATCTTTGAAAAATGTAGTATATATAGAAAAGAAAAATAATTCACCTGAGTTTATTCTAAATAATGAGAACTAAAACATTTATGCTCACAAACTTTTTTTTGACAATAGACAAGGACACAATAATTCAATGACATTTTTCATCGTTTTTTTATTCATATTTGACAAACATGCTTCATATAATAGTTTTAGACGATGATGTCTTGTTCCTCAAGGATCATGGATTAGAAAATATTGACCAATTGTGAATGAGTAGTGAGGATAAAAAGAAAGAGTAAAAATTCTAGTACGTCATCCTAGTAGGATAATAGTGTTTTCAATGTGACATTTATAGATTAAGAGACTCATCCACTGGAAAATTTTATCGCATAGACGAACGTCCAGACCCGGTCATTTTTATCTTAATAAAAAAACACGTCGAGATGTGCTTAGACTTAGACACTCTTAGATCAATAAAAAATATTTGTCCAGACGCGCTTAGATGTGACTCTTTCCAAGAAGAAACGGAAACGCGTCCAAATGCGCTTCTCACGATCGAAAAGTCTCCAATATTCTGATGTTTGGGTCGTCTAGACGCGCCTACTATTGAAAAAGTTCAGCCATTGTTTCACATGCATCGCATTTTCACTCAAGATAAAAATGAGATAAAAAGCGCCTGCAAACGCGATTTCTATTTCGAACAGAGGAAATGCGTCTCGACGCGTGACGAAACGTTTTTCTTCAAGTAGTTTCGAACACGTCTGAACTTATTTTTACATCCACTGTTCGCCCTAATTGGGCTAGTTCTAAACAACAGAAAGGTCATTTTATATTCACTGTTTACAGAAGGAGTAAAGTCACCAAATTTGGGTGACTTTGGCCAAAGTCTACTACTTTCTGTAGACTGAATTTCCAGCATCTTCTAGAACGCTGATAAGAGAGAAAATCTTAGAAAGAGTTCTAAGTTACGTTTGGCAGGAAATAAATGAGTATTTATAGGAAATAGCTTTGCAAAAATTCTGTGGTAGCGGTCACTCATCCTTTGGCGCGATTTTCTTTTTTATAGAAACCTCTTTTGGCTTCCAGACGCCTCCGATCGCATTTAAGGATATAAAATTTGTTTCTTTCAAAGTATTTCTTCTTTATACAATTTGTGGAGCTATTTATGATTGAGCAGAATGAATTACGAGCAAACTACGAAGAAAGAATGGTAGAGTTCAAGAGCAACTGTTTAGCAACGATGTCGTCAAATGTAAACGCGATCTTTTTTTCTAAACACATCTGAATATACTAAATAAACTGTGAGGTGCGTCTAAAAACAAATATAACCATCTTTCATTTGTCGAGCCATATAAAATGAGCGCATCTAGATGCGTTCAAGGTATTTTCTGGTCTCAGAGGTTAGTCTGGGTGCAACTATCATTGAAAAAAATTAGACGCGTCTGAACATACTCGGATTTTAATCCGATCATCTAGGCGCGTATGAACGCGTCTTAGAATCGAGGAGCATTCACACGCGCCTTTCGTCCAATTGAAGAAAAGGGATGCGTCTGGACATACCTTTTCTTTTCTCGAGTTAAAAAAGTACATTTAGACGCGTTTGGGCGCCTTTTTTTCAAAAAATAAAAACAAGAAAGCATATGAACGTTTTTCTGTGTGATAAAATTTTCCAGTGGGCACACTTAAAAGGTAAGATATTTATACATGCAGAATTTGCTATGTGACGAATCACAGCTTGTCTTTACTGTAGTGCACGTTGTTAACCTCCATTATACGTTAATGTACAATACGATGTCAAGTTTAATCTAACAAAAACTGCATTGTTTCTTGTCTGGCGATGCTAATGATAATCTATCATCAATAACAAGAATTAAATTGAATATAGAGTTCGAGCAATACATCATTCGCTGTAAATATTGCACAAAAGTACCTAAGAATCTATTTGAAACATTAGACTATTGTGCAAATGATTATTTTAACCAGCAATTATCGTCCATTTTAGTTCAATTATTATTGTTTTCTTACAATACACCTATACATAAATTACCTGGTGTAAATATAGACTCATAAGTAGTAGTTAGTCATTCAATATATGTTTTGTTTATTTTTTTCAAAAAATCTTGTTTTAAGATGTAAAAACGAAGAAGAAAGTTTGAACCGAAACAGAGACGAGTTAACAACATTAACGTTTTAACGACTAGTTGAGAAGAAACTACATGAACTGAACAAATAATATTGTGTGAAAAGAAAACATCATCAAATGCTGTTTTCAGGCAACAAAGATAGACGGAGACGAAAAACAAAAATCTTGACCAAAGGATACGCACACGTAAACAGATAAACAGTTGGTCATTTTTCATTCATTTGTATAGCAATCAATATGATTGTGTTGTGTTGTGTAATAAAAAGAAAATTTCATCGCCAACTTTGGAATGCTGTGTTCAATTTTTTTACAAAGTTAAGATTAGGGGTAAAAACAACAAAAAAAAAGAAAGAGAAACGATCACATTTAGCTAAGTTACAAAGAAGAAAAAAATGATAATGACTTCAAGCAAAAAATGAAAGAAGAAAAAAGGAGAAAGCAAAAAAACACAATGAAATCATTCGACAAAATTCTGATGCTGTCTTTAGTTAGACAATCTACGAACAAAAATAAGTCTAAATGTTTCGTAAGTGAGCAAATTTTTATTTGTTTGGTTGCGAGAAAATTGAAATTCATATTCAAAACCTAAAACGAATCAAAGAGTTCTATCATCCAATTTGTAGGCCGCCTTACCAATTAGTTTCTAACAGTTGACTCTTCAATAATGATGAAAGCGTCTTTTTCTTTGATAAACTCGAACAAGCTGCGCCAAGTTTTTTATCAACTTCACTTATCGAATTGATATCTACAGTCAGCATAACTTATTTTTTGAGTTCCAGGAGCGTCGAAAGTATTCTCTAAAAAAAATTCATAAGCGGCAGAAACAATATCTATTTTAGCATTTGCTAATCGATAATCGTATCGCACAGTTCTGTTTAACCGTTTTCCAAAATATACTTGAACGCGTTTCTCCTCATACAAGCCTTAATGGATTTCAGCACAAAGAGGACCACGTTCAAGCGTTCTGCTTCAAGTCTGTACGATATGGATATCGGTTGGCAAATGCCAAAATAGATATTTATTGTGAGCTACGAATTTCTTTTAGAGATTAGGGCAAAGTGACTCGTCTTATCCTGCTTTTTAAAAACTTTTATTTTTAAAAACGATCACATAGCAAAAACGATTTTTCTACCCCATCTGAAGTTTTTGCAAAAAATTTTTCGAAAAAAGGTACAACGGCAGGTACCTCTCCCGCTCCGAATATTGAGCTATGCTCCTGCTGAGTTTGCAAAAATCGCAGTAGCAAGTGGACAAAAAAGTCTTTCTTTATCTCTTACAGTATTTATTGACGTTTGATTATGCAAATATAACAGATAACTTACCATCCAAATGAAAATATCGCCGATCGTTTTTATGTGCGTAACATTTTTGATTTGTTTCCATTATCATTATCATCGTTCCCATCATAAAGTGGGATTAGTTCAATGTAGCGATGTCCTTAAAAAAACAAAAATTGAACAAATATTAAAAAAACAGCTAAAAGCATTATTACCAATATAATTTTTTTGAAACGTCATTGCTTCATTTGCTTCTTCTCTCGATCCAAATTCAGCAAACACCATTCCTGCTAAAAGAAGGAGATGTAGTATGGAAACGGGGTGAGAAAACCGCTGCTCATAGTTATGACACATTTGGCCAAACAAACGAACGAATAACCTACTCTGTTTCCCGCGAACAAATTCTATTTCCACTCGAATTGGAACGACAGGACTAAAAAACTGAAAACACGAAACGCATAGATATGTATGCAAATCCGTAAATGAAATGTGCTTACGTCGTAAATATCCTTTTCACCAGCTTCAAATGGTACACCACGCATTTTTATTGTAAAATTAGTCGTCATTGCACCTAAATAATATAAAATATAATAAGTCTGTTAATGTGCACGGTAGTTTGTCTTCTATCATTGTATTTTACGTTTAGTTGGAATTGAATTAGCATATCCTGCATCATAATTTTGTTGTGGTATATAAGGTGCTTGTGGGGGAATTGGTCCAGGTCCAGGACCAGGCATAGGAGCATTCATATAGTTGTCACGTCCACCGGACATTGGTGGCTGTTGTCGTTGTGGCATATCGCCGCGTGCGGGACCTCCACCTCGATTTTTAACAACAAACTGTGTATCTGCAATAATACTTTCTCTTGCTTCCACATATGTTGATTCAAATACTTCAATATATCTGTCAAGATAGAAAAGAAAGCAATGATTACAAACCTTAAAACTAGAACAACAGTGTATTTTTTAACGTTAGAAAATCAGGTAGAAAAGAGAGAAAATCCGTCCCTTATTTTCAGCTTATCAAACTATCGTCCAGGATGAACCTTTCCCACTACTTTCTTAGTTCCTAAAAGAAAAATAAAGAGAATTCGATATGAAATATTTTCTTCCCAACCTGTGACCGATATTTTTACGATTGAATCCCAGAGCTCTTTGTGCATTTTCCATATTCACGAACGCGACAAAGCCTTCTCCCGCCGGTTTCGAATTCGAGATGTGTATGCCATTTTCAGCTATTTCCAACCCTGCCAACCAAAGAAGAGAAGAAGAGAAAAAAATATGGTAAGTAGGCCAAAAAACCTTTGGAATAACAGAAACAAAACATTCTCATTAGAGTCGACGGGCAGTTATATCAATGGACAAAGGATAAAATGCCTACTAAAATATAAAACTGTGTTAAAAAAACTTACCTTCAAAGAATCTAGTAATATCCTCTTTTTTGCTATTGTATGGGAGCCCACGTAATCTAACAACCGGATCTGACAACGTCGATTCATTAAAATTAGCTCCTTGATTGGCTGTATTGGTATTATTTATATTTGTGTTATTACCACTATTTCCACTCTGATCATTATTCGATAGTGTAGCGTTCATTTCATCCGGTGATGATTCAAAAACCTATAAAATGAACAAAAATGTAACACAAAACTATGAACTGTCATGGATTAACATCTTTAAGACGTACTTCAACATAACGATTGCCAATACTTTTTTTATCAAACGTTTTTGCATGTTCTAAATCTTCTTGACTGGCTAATTCAACAAATGCTTCACCTGATGCCCGTCCATTTTTATTTTGAACAAAATGCGTTGTACGAATATTACAACCTAGAAACGAGAAAAAGACATCGTTATTCAACTTGAAATTACTTCCAAGTTTATATTTAATTCGATACATACCTTCAAGGAAAGTTTGCACCTCCGGACTCTTGGCTGACCATGGAAGACCCCGTAATTTAATGATAAAATTACTGCCACCGTTACTGTCGCCACCGTTAGACGGATTATTGTTATTCACGTTCAGCATGACTAGAATAACTAGAGTTAATAATAAACCTTAATCTATAGAACAAATCATAACATTAGTAATAGTTTTCAAAAAGCATGTTTAAGTACCCATACCAAATGAAGGAAGTGAAAAGAAAAAGTTAAAATGTAGGAGATCGTTTCATCAATATTTGTAAGTAGCATTTAAACTCCAAAGCTAACGCATTTTGGTCTCGACATAATCTTACTTTTAAGGATGATTTAGTTTTTGTTGTTAACTCTTAAGTATCAACTTAAGTTTTTGTTTTGACTCAGATTTGTCTTAGCTCCATGGAATGTTCTTTTACGTTAAACATTGACTAAATGCATTTCCAGAGTTGTCCTAGATAAATGTTGAAAAATGATATACAAAACTTTGACTTAAGTTTGTGCTTAAGAATATAAACTTAAGAATATTGATGAAGCGAGTCCTAAAATCTCTTTTCATATCTCAAAGCAAATATCCTCACCGATGACACTGAATTTCAATCGAGAAACAGAGTTTAATCATTTTCCAAAGGTTTTCGAAAATGAAGACAGTTTCAGCGAGAGATGGAAATTTATACAAAATGTATTCAAAAGACAGTCGAAATATGTCAGGAACAAAAGTTAGAAGCAAGGCTCCACAATCAATGCAATTTATTAATCTTTTATATTGGTTGTAAAGGTTTGTCCCTAACACTTTTACCTGTTGTATGTTAACCCATACAAAAAAAAAAGAAAAAACAAAAAAAGCTAGTACTGAGTATTGATTGGCTAGATAAAAAGTATAATCATAATTAATAGATATTGGTGTTTCTTATAATTTCACTCAGAAAAAAATTCGATTGATTGCTAAGCTACCGTAAAAAAAATTACGACTGAGACAAACCATAAGTGAGATATAGACCCCATTTCGAAAGTCCTTTGACAAATTTCTAGTGGTTGCGATTTTTTGATCAATGACGTTATCCTTTTTCAAATAAGAGAAAAGGTGGTGTTTGTAATAAATGCCGACATATCCGTATAGTAATAAAATAAACGGTTGTTTCCTTTTAGCTTCAAATAGTAGCTCCCAGGAGCCAGAATCAATGCGAATTGACGCGTAGACAGTCTCTCCTACGGGCTACTATTTGGAGCTAAAAGGATATATCCAACGAAACGAAAACAAACCAAGGTGGAAGACTGATATTATGATTCGGCTTCAAGTAGGGCAATAATAATACACTTTTGCTTTTACAATGATAATCACACATAGGTAAATAAAAGAAGAATGTTTAGCGTATGAAATCGATTTTCTATTGGTTGGGTAAAAGTCGGATGATGTCCAATTGTCCAAAAGCGTATATGTGCTAAACTGCTTATAAGACAGCATGTGGAACGATGGATTTGATTGTTGTATGATGAATGTATACCCGTGTCTCATTTTTACTATAAGATTGACATATATTTTGTGTTTAATTCCGTATTAAGAACAATAAATTTGAATGGGACTAAACTAGACGAAAAGGAATAACATAAAAGTTTTAAGACAATTCAAGTTTCACGTGTGAAAAGCTGATGTAGAAAGCTAAAAGTATTTGTGTATTTCACACACACTGATGTTCAGGAGGATGTTTCATAAAAATTCTTAGATACTCGACGTAAATAAGTTTAGACTTAAGTGTATAAAATTAACACGTAAGTGTACAAACCGAAGACATAGCCAAGTCAAGCACTTAAGAATGTTTATGAACCACCCTCCAGGAATCTGTACGATGTATGACTAGATGAGATCATTCAGTAAGATCAAGAAGTAAATAAGACGGCTTGTTTTCAGTGTAGGTGTGCACTGTTACTCTTAAACCCAGTACAATTAAACTGAAAAATTGAGAAAAATTTTCCACGGTGATCTGAGAATTTAATGTTTAAGAAATAAGACAAAAAAGATTTTTTTTGAACAAAAGAAACGTACAAGTATCAGAACAGATTTTGCACTAAACAAAACACCATATTTACTATTCAATTTTTATTTATTAAAAAAAAAATTCTGTTTACGAACAAATCAAACACGTTTGTTTACATTAAGGAGAAAGGAAAACATTTTTTACTTTATTTTTGATAGCACGGCGAAACAAAAAACTAAAAATTTCTCGTTCTCTCTCAAAAATAGCTATAAAATGGTTGACGCTGATTTCTATAGTAAATGTCAGTTCTGGGTTAAATTTCCGGCAATTCTATCAGTTTTTTCAAATTATAAGGGAAAAGCTAAAATGTTGATTGACACGTTTGAGCAAGGCAAAATACTTAATGGAAAGGCACAAAAAAAATAACTCCACTGGAATTAGTGAAAAAGTACAAAATGGTTAATTAATTTGATTACCTGACAATACTGCATGATCTAGATATAAATCATCCAGGCGAAGAGTCATACCAACAGCAAAAATAATACTGCCGTAAGCTACTACGGAAAAAGTATCACGATTTCTACGATTAGAATGTGACAGCATGACGAATAAAATGTAGCAGTGATTGATTGTCACTGTAAAAGTATGATATGAAAATTTTTCCATTTTCACACATTTTTGATGTAGATGAGTGATTGATATTTTTTATTTGAGCGTGTTAAAAAGCTAGATTCCGTCAGATCATGCTCGTACATCTCAATGAACGCGAAGATGAGTCAATATGAACTTTTCTTAAGAGGACGAGGAAGGCAGTGCAGCTTGGACTACTATTTATTATAATTCGTCTTTTCTATTTATTTAAACAATAGCATTTTATTTAAATCCGAACTTGTATTCTGTCAATTCTTTTAGTGCAAACTTCATGTAACAGAATTTTTTTGGTTACACGCTCTAAATAATAAATAATTTACTGTCAGAGACAAAGTTATGTTTAAAGAGAAAGATATTTCTATTATTCAAACGGATTCATTCATTCTGGAAAAATTTATTGATTACTCATGTGCTTGTTTGATGATCTCCATTTGACTTTGAATATGAGATCAAGCGTTTTATATAGATTGTGTTATGAATTATTTTCTACGTGGTGGTAGTCGAATTATCATTTCGACATCTACAAATGTCTATACAAATTTAGCATTAGAGCGTTTTCTTGCAGAAAATATTCAACATCAACCAAAATCAAAATTATTAATTTTATGGCGTAATTCACCATCTATTGTAATTGGCCGTTATCAAAATCCCTATGTTGAATCTAATCTCAATTATTTATTTGAAAATAATATTCTTCTTTCTCGACGTTATTCTGGTGGAGGTACGACGTACCATGATGAAGGTACGTTCATATTTATCAATATGTTATTATCTATCTGATATTTTATTATATAGGAAATTTAAATTTGACAATATTAACAACAAGAGATAATTATAATCGACGAAAAAATTTGGAATGGCTTGTTAGTACAATTAATGATTCTTATGTAAATAAATTTTCTTTACATATAACAAAACGAGATGATATTATTTTAGAAGATTCGATTAATAAACAACAATATAAAATAACGGGAAGTGCTTCGCGTTTAACTCGTACATATGCCTATCATCATTTTACACTTTTGATTAATACAAATCTTAATCATTTACGACAATCGTTAAAATCAAATGATCGATTTTCTATCAAATCAAATGCCACTGAAAGTATTCGATCATCAGTAACATGTTTGAGTAATTATGAGTCAACAATTCAATATGAAACATTGATCGATATTTTGGCTAAATCATTTTGGAAACAAAATCAACAAACTAAATGGGGAAGCGATTATTTATATGATTATATTGATCCGCAATTATTTCAGAATCAATTGAAACAGTTTATTGACGAATTAAAATCAGACTACTTTCTTTATGAAGTAACACCACCATTTACCTATACGATTCTAGCTCACAATAACAGAACGATTGAATTTTCAATTAAAAATGGTATAATTGAGGATATTAAAAATTCAAATAAAGATGAATATGAAAAATTTTATCATAAACAATTTTACTTGATGTATAATGACATTAAACAATTGTAGGATATATTAATCAGAGAAAACAAAGTAGTAGAAATACTCAATGAGTGTTTTTCCAATATATACCATCCAGAGCCCGAAATGAATCAGGAAAACATGATTCAAGTCGATTTGGGATAACATTTTTGGATCCTAAATCGGTTCGATTCGTTTCGGACTCTGATACTATGCAGTTAAGTAATGGTCAAAGCGACATATCCCCTGGGTCTTAAGGATTTTTGATCTTGCTCTATCTGATGGTGCCATTAGATATGGTTGATTCTGACTTAACAGCGGACTTCTTGAAAACCAAGTTTCAGGACTTTCGGAAATATTGAAATTACAAATATTCGCCGTTTAAACAGGCTGAAAGTCGAGGTAGAAGATCTTCTACGATGGCTAAATACAAAGTCCTCAAATTTTATTATTTTATTATTTCATAGTAGATAGCACGCACCTAAAACGTATATGGTTGTGCATTTCAGACCTAGACCTGAAGTAGTTTTCCACAGGTATTTAAAAAAGCCATCAATCCAAAAAATAGAAGGCAATGTGAATATTTAGATTTAACACTTACAAGAGATAGTCCTATCACTTTACTGTAAAGTAACGCAGATCCGAGGCTTATAACTTATAGAGGGACTCGGTGGTACTCATTTTTCGGAGAGCGACGACGAAACAGACATGATCGAGATGATCAGAAGGGTCAATAAGCTATGTTTCTAGTTTGTAGGTTTTCAAGAAGTCCGCTGTTAAGTCAGAATCAACCATATCCAATGGCACCATCAGATAGGGCAAGGTCGAAAATCCTTAAGACCCAGAGGGTATATTGTGGGTGTGTTTTGTCTAGGTGCTAGATGCTCATTAGAAAGATGCTCATTAGAAGCTAATGTCAATAACTTTAATCTTTATAAAACAGTTTTTTTCCAAAGCTTTTTTTGTGTCAGTTATTAGTCAACTGTTTTTAATGTATTTATTTCTATTATTATTTTCTATAAATTACGCTGATGATTGTTCGTCGCATCTAGAGGGTGCATACATAATTGAGAAAACGAAATGACTATAGTTTGAAACAGTGCTGGGCGAGTCGACTCGAGTCGCATTTTTTTAATGACTCTGACTTGACTCGGACTCGAAAATTGGAAGACGTTGACTCGGCTGTTTGACTCGAGTCATTCATTCGAAAAAAATGCTATTCATTAACTGCTTCATATCACCGACAAAAAATTAAAGTTCATTTAGAGTTAAAGCAAAGTGCTTTTTCATATTCAGCACACTTGATAACCTGGAAAATTTTCTATTCTTAGCGAGGAGTACCGACAAAAAGTTAAGAAAAATTTTTAAAATTGTTTAATTTTACCATGGGGATTTTTCTGCGTCAATTTGTTTGAAAATTTTTCTTAACTTTTTGACGGTACCCCTCGCTAAAAATAGAAAATTTTCCAGGTTATCAAGTGTGCTGAATACGAAAAAGCACTTTTCTTTAACTCTAAACAAACTTTAATTTTTTTTATCGGTCATATGTGCATACATTTCTTCTTGTATAAATTTGGGTTATTTCTGAATACTCTTTCTTATTTTATTTTATTGTTACGTTTCAACATCAAAGACACTTTCGTCAGACAAAAGTAGAATAAATGTGAAGAACATATAATTAATTAGAGTATATATATATGTAAAATTAAGAAATAGATAACGAATATCGAAAAGTTGTAGTTAACGTTCTCTATAAAAATAAATAGTACTCGGAAAAAAATAGAAAAATAATATTGACTCGACTCGACTCGAAAAATAGCTTGACTCGCCCAGCACTGATTTGAAATATTCATCTCTCTTAACACTCATTTTATCAAATGACAGGTTTTAACTATAATGATCATAGATCTTACCATAGTTGTACGACCAATATAACGTCGAATTTCTTTGATTTTTAGCTATTTATTTCAATTTGAAAATAGAAAACAAATAAAGTTTCTTTTTCTAGAGAAAAAGCAGTGTCATTTTATGTTTGTGATCATACCATCGTGAAACTCAAGTGATTACAGTGAAAAAAATGTGTTTAACTACAGAGTATTACTTTTCATTCCCTTACATTTAGTTTTACTAAATTTGTAAAAATGAAAAGTGATAACTGTAAATGTATATACTAGGTATTGAGACAAAAACGATTAGTGAGTATAGTGAATGGTTTTAGGAATATATATCAATAACATATTTATTTATTAAACAGTACACTCTATATTATTTTGCACACTGAGCATTCCAGAAGTGAGTGACTTTAACTGATTTCTTTTTTGTTTTTTGCTATGATATAGATACATAAAATGTGATTTATATATGTGAATGCACTGTTTGACCTAAAATATCGGAACGTGTTGTTGTAGATATCAAAGGATATTTGTCTGATACATGGCCTCCAATTTCTGATAATTGTTTTTTTTGCAGTGTAGATGATTTTTTCATTCCATCTAGACTTTTTTCTGTGAAATAGTGTTGATTCCAGTTTTGAATAAGTTCATTACTGTAATTATTTGATGGTTCTAAGACAATTTCAGCTATTTTATTTGATAATAGATAATTACTAATTAATGGTGTTGGTTTATTTTGTTGTTGAATAATTCGTCCACGATTCGTTGGAAAAAATGGAAGAGCATAATCGACTCGATTTGGTGAACGAACCGATACTACTTGAGATATTGTTGTATTTGTTGGATTATTGTAGTGTTGTTGTCTTGGTGGTTGAGGACGAGGAGGAACAGGACGTTTAATAGGCGGTGGTTGAGTTAGTGATGAGAGTGGGTAATCTCTTCCATCATGTTTTATTGGAACTGGTACTTTTTGTATTATACGAGGCATTTTTATTGATGTATCGACCATCGTCGTTTCTGAATTATTTTTTTGTGATTGCACAACATAATAATTGGTTTTTCTATTTTGTAAAATTGTGGGTTGTTTTTCTACATCGGGTAATGTTTGAGTAAATAATGAATCCTGTTGCATAATATATTCCGAATACTCACCATAAAGTGGTCCTTCTTCATGAAAATGTGGTTTTGTAATATTTTTTGGATTGGCTGAAAGTAAACGAACAGATTCTTCTGGTACAGATTCTAGTTGTAATGCGAATCGAACATGTTTTCGAGATCGACGTTTAATTGATGGTGATTTTGGTAGTACATGAGTATAAATTTCTGGATATTTCGTATTATCATAATTAATAGTAGGAAGGATGCTAGTTGATTGATTTACTGAATTTTTACGCACTGATTGACGAGGTCTTCTAGGCAATTGAATAACTCCTTTATAAAATATGAAAATATAAAAATTATATTCAAGAACATAAATAAAATTAGCAGTTAATCAGCAAACGGGAAAAAAATTCTGTACGCCTGGAAAAAAATAGTTGCACACAGTTTTTTTAAGATACTTTCCTTATGAAGATATACTTTTAGAAAAATAATCCCATATTCTAATAGCGCTTGAAATTTTCTATTAGTCTCTGCTTTTACAGCCTGGATTCGAAATTATTTGCTAGCAAAAGTTTTGAATACTATTAAGGGCCCCCCCTCCTCAGAAATTATCTCCGACACCGTGCATCCGATCTTGACGAAACTTTCCATAAATGTTCGGCACAATGAGTTACGGGAATGAAAAAATTTTTTTGTCTCTAAGTCTTACGGTTTAGGAGTTTTCTAGAGATCAAGGTCCAAAAAGGACCCTGAACGGCGTCCCAAGATTTTTTAATATACTTCAAGCTGGAGAGTTCGAGTTTGTATTATTTTAAACTAGATACCTAACTACATCGACTGACCGGCGCCGATTTTTTAATTAAGTCTTTATTGATTTTCCAGGCAACCAACAACCTCCAAAACCCGAAAAAGCCTTCCGGATTTTCTAAAAATCCTCCGTTCGACAAAAAAACTAACACCTAATTCAAAAATCGACGCCGGTCAGTCGATGTAGTTTCTTTTCCTCTTTAAACAAAAAAAGAATGAACTCTCTACGACAAACCCCTAT